ACACACACACACACACACACACACACACACACACACACGCACGCACGCACACACACACACACGCACGCACGCGCACACACACACACACACACACACACACACACACACACACACACACTGGTCTGTAGAGCCTAGTGAAAACAAAGCCAGGCTCTGCCAGTGTAAACATGGGTCATTGTTATGAGCGCTCTCTCCCACCTCGTATCTTCGCTCCCCGTGGCGATCCTGGCCTCTGAGTGGTGGAGCTCTGGCACAGGCCTTGCTTGGGTCAGTTATTTTAGGAATTGTGAGAAATCATTTGCCCCGCATTTATGCGACCATGCCATTACAGCATACAGACTGCATGGTGTGATTTATGTGCTGGGTTTTGCTCCCTTGCACTTCTTCTTCTTCCCTTTCCTGGCCAAGTTTAACTGCCTTGCCCCTTTATGAGGCATTTGCGTGCATTTAGGTCAAGAACTTTCAGCTTTTTGACGTTTTTGTTATTATTTTTAGAAGAAAAGCAGTCATCATTGCACCAAGTTCCCCAAACACTCTATAGAATAACACGAATCATGTTTATGTAGGGGTAATAAACTCATTTGTGCAGCGGTGGGTATTCAATTTTTAGCAAATGTCTCAATTATGTCCTATATTTGTGAAAAAAACATGTGTGTGTGTTGGAGTGTGCCGCCTCTCAGCTGTGAACCTTATCCACATGTGCAGCCAATTAGGACCAATCAGAAAGTTGTAACCAGGGCGTGGCAAGAGGAGTAGCGTGGCAGTGGGGGACGTTTATGACCCATGATTAGGGGGTCAGACTCATGAAGGAGAAAAGGGGGACAGCTGCCGAGGCTGCTTCCTTTACTTCTACATGTTTGTTTATTTAGTTTGATATATATATATATATATATATATATATATATATATATATATATATATATATATATATATATATATATATAGCATGTGTGTATACATAAAGAGAGAGAGGACATGATGGTGCGGTTTGCCACATGACCTGATATAATTACAGAGAGGTAGTTAAATGTGATAATGTATGTTTTTACAACTGGCTGCATATCTGACTCTATTGCTTTGACTGGATTGCAAAACGAATGATTTTCTTCTTATTTTCAGATCCCCATCCCCCACTTTTCCTCGTCAGTTCTTGTTGAACAAAAACTAAAGTTTTTACTAGCTTTGGTGGCTTGCTTGTGTTAAAATTACATCAGAAACTTTTCTTTCTGTTCTCACTGTAGAGTAATAATGTCATTCATCAAAATGTACTCCTTTTTTATCTCAGTCAAACAAATTGGATGGGAAGGTGGTTTTCGGTCTCAGAAGTTAATGATGGAACAATATCTTGTCCATCCATCCATCCATTTTCATCTGCTTAGCCCCCACCACTCTTCGGAGAAAATTCATTTCGGCCGCTTGTATCCGCGATCTCGTTCTTTCGATCACTACCCAAAGCTCATGACCATAGGTGAGGGTAGGAACGTAGATCGACCGGTAAATTGAGAGCTTTGCCTTCTGACTCAGCTCTCTCTTCACCACGACAGACCGGTACAACGCCCGCATCACTGCAGATGCAGCACCAATCCGCCTATCGATCTCACGCTCCAGTTTTCCCTCACTCGTGAACAAGACCCCGAGATACTTAAACTCCTCCACTTGGGGCAGGACCTCATCCCTGACCCGGAGAAGGCATTCTACCTTTTTCTGAATCAAGACCATGGTCTCAGATTTAGAGGAGCTGATTCTCATCCCAGCTGCTTCACGCTCGGCTGCAAACCGCTCCAGCGAAAGCTGAATATCACGTTCTGATGAAGCCAACAGGACCACATCATCTGCAAAAAGCAGAGACCTGATCCTCAGGCCACCAAAACGGATACCCTCCATACCTTGGCTACGCCTAGAAATCCTGTCCATAAAGGTTATGAACAGAATTGGTGACAAAGGGCAGCCTTGGCGGAGTCCAACTCTCACTGGGAACGAGCCCGACTTACTGCCGGCAATGCGGACCAAGCTCTGACACCGGTCATACAGGGACCTAACAGCCCGTATCAGAGGGCCTGGTATCCCATACTCCCAGAGTACCCCCCACAGGACCCCCCGAGGGATGCGGTCAAACGCCTTCTCCAAATCCACAAAACACATGTAGACTGGTTGGGCAAATTCCCACGCACCCTCCAGGATCCCCCTAAGGGTATAGAGCTGGTCCAGTGTTCCACGGCTAGGACAAAAACCACATTGCTCCTCCTGAATCTGAGGTTCAACAATTTGATGGGCCCTCTTCTCCAGAACCCCTGAATAGACCTTACCAGGAAGGCTCAGGAGTGTGATCCCCCTGTAGTTGGAACACACCCTGCGGTCCCCCTTTTAAAATAAGGGGACCACCACCCCGGTCTGCCAGTCCAGTGGGACTGCCCCCGATGTCCATGCGATATTGCAGAGCCAACACAACCCCACATCATCCAGAGCCTTGAAGAACTCCAGACGGATCTCATCCACCCCCGGAGCCTTGCCACAGAGGAGCTTTTTAACCACCTCAGTGACCTCAGCACCAGAGATTTGAGAGGCCAACCCAAAGTCCCCAGAGTCTGCTTCCTCACTGGAAGACGTGTTGGTGGGATTGAGGAGGTCTTCGAAGTATTCTGTCCACCGATCCACAACGTCCTGAGTAGGGGTCAGCAGCACACCGTCCTCACTATAGATAGTGTTGGTAGCGCACTGCTTTCCCCCCCTGAGGCGCCGGATGGTGGACCAGAACCTCCTCGAAGCCGTACGTAAGTCTTGCTCCATGGTCTCACCGAACAATATCTTGTTTAATGACAAAATACATTAACTTCCACCTGATAGAGAAATCTTGATTTGCAGTGATTCTAGGTGAAAGATGCACAGTTGGTCAACTTTTGTAGCAGAACAAAATATTGTATTATTGTAACAAAGTAATCAGAAGAGACGACATTAATGTGGAAAAATCTGTCAGTGCTGAGCTTAAAAACAACTGGTACCAGTTTCTGGATGTCAGTGGAGTGCATCCTTCTCCTTCAGCCCTGAAGTGTGATCAATAAAGCTTTCATCAAAGTTCACTCATTGAATTGTGTCCAGAGTACAATCTTTATCCAGGCGGAGGGAGAAAGCGTGTTCCGCTTCGCTTTTTCCTGCACTGACTGGCTCTTGAACATCTGCCAAGCTACGGTTCTGGAAAGTTGATCAGTATGATTATCCTCTGGCCTTTAACCAATTGGTCCATTTTACCCCAAAATCAAATGTCACCATGGGAGCCATTGATGCCAACAGAAGATGCCGGATTTTTCACGATGGCTTGTTTGTTTGCTTGTCTGGGGTGATAAACATGTGAGAAAAACAGAAATAGGCATTTGTCAAGCTGCAAACCACCGCTGATCTCACAGGGCTAGCAAACATGCTGACCCGAGCGTGGCTCGGCCCACAAAACCACATGTAAGCAGACAGGAATGTATAGCCCACTGCATTGTGGGTTTGTGTCTTGGGGAAAGAGTGCAGACTCCCTGACTCACAGGACGCTGTTAGGTTAGGGGTCTGAAAAGGGAATGGAGATCTGGGGGGAGTGTGAGTCATGCTGTCTACAGTCATCTTACTCATACAGAAGCTCTGAAATGCATGACGCATTAAGAGGATTGTAATCTTTACCAACAGCATCTGTTTCAGGTTACTCCAAAACTGAGCTAAAGTGGATTCTTGATCAATCAGTTAGTCAATTAACAAGAATTTACTCTCCAAAGAAATAAGTATTCATTTTCTTATTTACACACAATACATTAGAATATGAGCAGATTGCAGAAAATGTTGAAAGGCTGTAAGAATGAAAGCAATATTTACTCTCATCCCATATATGTGAATATGTAGTCTGGCCACAATACATAGATGGCTCTCAGTCGTGGGGCGGGATCTACGGTTCCCTTTCAAACGGTCTCTGCATGCTATTGGACAACAAACAACGTGACGTACTCACTGCTACAGATGTCAGTCAAAGGGGCAGTCCGCCATTACGTCATGAAAGAAGCTGGAAATACATCGTTTTTCTAAATAAAATTAAGTACCTCTGTCTGCTCTTGACTCAAACAAAAGCCCTAATAGTCTAAATTGTTCAATTTTGATGCCAAAGCTGTTTTAAATGAGGCGTCGCCATCTTAGTTTCACTCAGTCGCAGTAACATCCCGCCCACCTGACTGAAAGAGTGCTTCGACTGGCCTACCAAACCAGTAGAATGCGGTTATTGGACCGCTGCAGATGACAATCAACGGGGCAGTCTGCTAAACATCATGGAAGCAGATGAAAATACATAATTTTTCTAAATGAACGTGCTGTGGTTGGTCAGCCACAACACTGGCTGACCAACATGCTAAGCAAAATCATTTTCCTTAGCATGTCAGTCTAGATTTTAGGCTAATATAACGTAGCAATCACCCATTTTCTGCAACTCCAAGACATTCCTGCTCCCTTACAATGCTTAGCAACAACAATCCACGATTGCATCATTATCTTCTCAAAATGAGAATATCCATGAGTACATGCTACAAGATCAACCTCTGACATAGTGGTGTTTTGGTCTATGTGTAGTCAATGCGACCTGTCTTTCTTCAAATTTGCCATGACCAAGCCACATTAGTGGTGCATGCAAGCTGCACTTCACAACAACAATAAACCATCACGACTGTGCTACAAAGTTTTATTCATGCTCAAAACTGTTGCTGATCCTCCAGTCATGATGAAAAGCCAAATGTGTCCTTAATATTTCATCAGAACCTCAAAGTGCAAATCTTAGAAAGTTACACATAGCCAGTCGCTGGGAGATCACATCACAAGTTGTCTTTTTAAGACTTCAAGCTATTTTGTTGCTGTTTTATTACATTTAAACAATCAAAACTTTGATTTTTTACACAAATTACCTTTTTTCAAAATTAAAATCCAATAGTCTAATCATAATATGCTTTTTCCTGCTCCCCGAACTTTCCTCCTCTTCTTTGAAGTTCCAAAGAGGTTGCTCCAGGAACCAGGCCTCAGATCGTCAGAGTACCACCCACCTCCCTGCTCCCATGACCCCAACGTAGTGGGAGACGACCCTCCTGAGGGAACCTCATTGCCACGGCCTGACAGTGTTACAGGTGAGAACATGTGAGCTTATGCAATATCTAATTCTCAGCTTCTCAAAAAACAATTTAAAACAATCTCCAATCTGAAGCTGAAGGACGGGACTTGAAATTGTTCAGCTTTTTCAGTAAATACCGTCGAAGCTAGTTTCATAACGTCAAACTTCCAGGGAGAAAAGTGAAAACAAGAACAACAAAATAAAAGAATGAAAAAGTTGAAGACCCTGGCAGGAAAAAAAAGTCAAACAAAGCTTTATTCATGAGGGATGCTGGCCTTTGTCCAACACACTAATTGCTCTGCTCAGCTACTGGTTCTGTACGGATGGAGATGATGCGTGAATGGATAAGAAGTTAAAAGAGAGAGCAAACGGGGCGAGAACAGGAGATGTGCGCTGCAGAGCTGACAGCTTCTGATGCAGATTCCCAACAAATCCCACAATGGTTACCTTTATAATGAGACCTAAGTCATGTATTAGGTCTTGTGGTTACAGAACTACACTCCTTATAGTGTGGCTGTGTCATCTGTGCCTCACTAACATTATTTTTAGTTTTAAAAAATAGCTTGGGGGCCAATAGTTTTGAACAATTAAAATGCAATTAATCAAGATTAATTAATTACAAAACATCTGATAAATTATTCAGAGACAGAGAAAGAAACGCCTTTGGTCCATCTGGAAAGACCCGTTTCTACCTCATGTTAGTGTGACAATGGATTTATCTGATGAGTTTCTACCAAACTCAATGACGGGGTTTGTATTTTGATCTTTTATTAATGATTAAACTATCATCACCATCAGGTTTTTACGAGCAAAGATACCAGGAAGTAATTTCTTCCTGTTCAGAAAAATCACGAAACTAAAAATACCCACGGAAACTAAAACAAGTTTCTTTGAAGACATACAAGTTTTAACATGTTGAAAACTGGGTTGACTACTTATCTTATTTTTCTTTTTTCTAGTTTCTAGTTTCTTCTTCTTTTTTTTAAATACAGTTGGTCACTTTGAGTTTCACAAGCGGGCTAAACATGAAAATAGTCTTCTACCCCGATTCCATGCTTTAGCTGTCATTAGAAAACAGACGGGGAAACTGACAGGCCTGAAAAGGCCACACTGATAATTGTCACACTGTATGTTAGCATTCATGGACTCACCCATCTTGCTCATGACCAGGGAAGACTGTTGTTGATTTAGCATCCAGGAGAGAGCAGAGCACGCCTCGGCTTGTAGAAGCTAACAGTTAGCATTAGCAACTCCACAACATGGCAGAACTCCTTCAGCCTTGTGTTATATCTGAAAATAAAACATCAGCATTGCAGAGCGAACAAAGGTGGTGGAAGAGCCGCGTTGCTGTTAGCCAATCAGAGGCGAGATGTCTGAAAATGATAAATAATAAAGCTGTTATAACGAAACTGCGATCAAGCGAGGTTTTGAACGCAAACACGGTCATGGAACACTCACCCCTCCCTTCAGGTATCTTTCCTGAAACACTTCTGCTGGAACAAGAAACCCGTGATGCCAGACGAAACAAGATAGTGCTAAACACCAGTCACCGTTTTCTAGGTCCAAATGTCTTCTGTTGTCCGTGACTTCAAATGTTGTTGGTTTTTTTTTTGGGACTCTGGAAGTTTGTCCTAGAGTTGAAGTGGTAGCAGCCGGCTGTTTCTCCTCCTCTGACAATATCGAGCCAAGAACCTCTCACACTAGTGGTGTTCTGTTGCTAAATACACGGGTGCGTTATGAGAGGAGGATCCAGGAAAGTGTGGCGGTTTGGTGAGACCTACAACCAGATAGTTCAATAGTTGCTTTCAGCCAGTTACTTGTTATTGGCGAAGGTTTTTAGACAAATGAGAGAGAACCACTTTACTAATTTATTTCTTTTCTGTATCTCAACAATTTAACTATAGTTATATGTTGTTAAGAGGCATGAAAACCTGTTTTAAGCTCATTCATTTTCCTAATTTGCCATTGCAGCTTTAAAGTCTCTTTCCGGAGTATTTCTCTTATCCCATGGCACCATCTAGTGGCTGACAAGCATATCACACAAAAAGTCTGTCGCTCAGTTTTTTAAGATGGCAACTTCACGTTTCTTGTTTATAAATGTGTTTCTGTAGTTGACAAACACAGCTAAAACATGTTGTTTTACAAGCATTATTCTCATGTCATGTTGTGTTTTCATATATTTATATTTTAAAGACTTTCTTGTCCGTGAAAAGTTCATCAACTCTGCATCAGCCGAGGTATTCCTTAATTTTAAAGCATCTAAGCGTTAGTCTAACGCTATTGGTCAGTTCTGGTCGGCGCTCAGTTTCCTATTGCACGGAGCTCTGCGGGGCAGGGGCATGCTTAGCAAAAATAAAAAAATAAAAAAGACATATTGCTTACATAATATCACAGTACATGATAAGAAAATCACTTTTACGGATTTCTGAAAAACCATATATAATCTCTGAAAGTAGAAAACTTCGGAAAGCTACTTTAATGAGTAAGATTCCAATACCTGCCATTTTCTTCCCTCCTTTCCTTCGGCTAACTTCTACTTCCTGAAGCGTGAGTGCAAGAGCTTTTTTTCCCCAGAGATCGACTCACAAGGCATTCGTTTATACTAGAGACCACTGCAGATTTGTTGAAAAAACATGCTTTAGGTAACTCTTGCTATCTGCTTCCTGTTTTGCATGTAACACACTTTTAGTTGGGATTTTATAATAAAAGAAAGATCTATACATCTAGATTTGTGTTCATGACACATCAAGAGATGTGTATTCTCTGTATGTAATGATTATAAGAAGCTTTGCCGTGTTTGTTTTGGGGTTTATTTATGTGCGTATTAGTTGACCGTCATCTGGTGGAGACGTTCACCTCCTGGGTGAGCCATCCCACACCAAACTGCGTTTATCAGATAAAGAGCCTCTGACGCACCTCAGAAACGCTGCAATTAGAGGTCACTGGTTTGTGTGATAGTTCACCCAACCAGCAAGGAAAAAAAGTTCTAACCTGTAAATATGACTCGTGCACCCAAATATACACACAGATTTGGGGATTTAGTCTTTATTTTTAGGTTGTTTTCTTTCTTTTTTTCAGTGAGGCTTTGCTTATTTAGAGAGCTAAAGATGGAGAAGTTACACAAACCTCCTTCAGGTCAAGTAAATGAGGCCCTTCTCAAAAATAAATCTGAATCTTCATCTCTGACAAACACAGCCCAAGCCAGCACTAAAAGAGATGACGTATATCCAGAAGAACAAACTGTTGTTCTCTGCCATAAACAGATTCTCCTCTGAGATTCGAAGGGAACTTTCTAAGGGCTGCCAAAGAACAAACTTTTTCCATGTGGCTCTCTGCCTCTCGATGCTCTGAGTCAAGAGTGAGGTGGACGGATGTTGTGTTATTGGCTGTATTCAACATTTCATGTGTTAAAAGGCAATTAAGGCAGCTTTATTTACAAATGTCATTAACAGAGGCAATTCAGTGTGTTTCCATTTAACAAGAATAGTATGAACATTAAAATCAGTGTAAAAACTATTAAAATACACAAATACATTTAGATCGAATTAACACACAAATTAATTTCTGATTTAAAAATGGTAAAAATGACGATGTTAAAGGGTGAGCAGTAGTGCAGAAGGTGCAGCATATAAAACATTCACTCAAAGGCTGATGTAAAGTCAAAGATTCATAATTTGCTAGCAGTATTTTGGGTTATTTAGCCTATCATAATTGAGGGTGTTTTTATTTAATGAATATCTATTCAATTTAGATAATTATTTATTATTTATTAAATAATGTACTAACTAAATATTAAATTTGGTGCTAAACATTTGGTGTCCAAATTAAATATTTTTAGTGAAGTTTTTCTTTTATAAATATGTATTTAATTTAGATACTTATTTATTTTTAATTTAATAATTTATGTAATAACTAAATATTTAATTTGGAGCTAAACATTTGGTGTACAAACTAAATATGTTGCTCCAAATTAAATATTTAATTTTCTAAATAAATATTTGGATCCCAGCTAAATGTTTACTTTGGAGTCAAACATTGAGTTTGCAAAGTCAATATTTAGGATTAGCCCCAAAATAAATATTTAGCTGGGATCTAAATATTTATTGTGGAAAATAAGTTTTTATTTTTGGAGCTAAATATTTGTTTTCTAAAATAAATATTTAGCTGGGATCTAAATATTTATTGTGGAAAATAACTATTTATTTTTGGAGCGAAATATTTGTTTTCTAAAATAAATATTTAGCTGGGATCTAAATATTTATTGTGGAAAATAACTATTTATTTTTGGAGCAAAATATTTGTTTTCTAAAATAAATATTTAGCTGGGATCTAAATATTTATGGTTGAAAATAAGTATTTATTTTTGGAGCTAAATATTTGTTTTCAACTTACTAACTAAATGTTTATTTGGGAACTTTAGAGTTTATAAATGTATGAATAACATGGTGAACATACAACTTTTAAAAATTAACTTCAATTATTTTCTTTCATAATCGACTAAATAACACAAAATATTGCCGTTAAATTGTGACCGTTTGACTTTACAAATGGCACCCTATAGATTAATAGGTAAAAGTTTTCAGTTTAGATTTTAAAACTTCCTAAAAAACTTTATTCGTCTCTGCTCTCTGAAAAATGTTGCGATGCATATCTATTACTGTAAATTACTCAATAATGTCAGGGTGCGCTGGTGAGTGGAGCGGAGGTGAGGATCCAAATGCAGGGGAGAAAGCAGGCAGGCAGACAAACTGGACAACTGAAAGGGTTTTAATGATTCACGCACGCAGGACATGGAAACAATGAAGCAACAAGAGACAAAGGACTGGAGGGGTTTAAATACAGGAGGGCTGGGAGCTTGGGTGATTGGGAAACAAGAGGCAGGTGGGAGCAATCAACAGGGACACAGGCTGAACCAAATGGAGGGACAGGACAGGGTGTGACAGTACCCCCCCCCCCCCCCCCCCCCTCAAAGGGCGGCTTCCAGAAGCCCACAGGAACACAGAACAGGGCCAGAGGAGGGGGACCCGGATGGAGGGCCGAGAGGGACAGAGGGCCCGATGATCAGGAGGCAGGGACCAGCAGAGTCCGGGGGCCTGCACCCAGGGCAGAGGAGGCAATAACGACGACGGGCTCTTGGGGGCCTGCGCCTGGGGCAGAGGAGGAGGCGACGACGGGCTCTTGGGGGCCTGCGCCCGGGGCAGAGGAGGAGGCGACGACGGGCTCTTGGGGGCCTGCGCCCGGGGCAGAGGAGGAGGCGACGACGGGCTCTTGGGGGCCTGCGCCCGGGGCAGAGGAGGAGGCGACGACGGGCTCTTGGGGGCCTGCGCCCGGGGCAGAGGAGGAGGCGACGACGGGCTCTTGGGGGCCGGCGTCTATGGCAGAGGAGCTCTGCAGGCTGGGCCGGGGACAGAGTCTCTGCAGGCTGGGCCGGGGACAGAGTCTCTGCAGGCTGGGCCGGGGACATAGTCTCTGCAGGCTGGGCCGGGGACATAGTCTCTGCAGGCTGGGCCGGGGACATAGTCTCTGCAGGCTGGGCCGGGGACATAGTCTCTGCAGGCTGGGCCGGGGCCAAAGCCCCTTGGACGGGCTGGACCGGAGACTCGTAGAAAAGCTGGACCGGATACGGTATGACCTCCAGAACCACCGTTGGCACTGGAGACGGTGGAGACGTCAGACTAGAGGGAGCGCCGACCTCTGGACAGGAGAGAGCGCCGACCTCTGGACAGGAGAGAGCGCCGACCTCTGGACAGGAGAGAGCGCCGACCTCTGGACAGGAGAGAGCGCCGACCTCTGGACAGGAGAGAGCGCCGACCTCTGGACAGGAGAGAGCGCCGACCTCTGGACAGGAGAGAGCGTCGACCTCTGGACTGGAGAGATCATCCTCAGACGAGGCAACTTCAGACGAGCCGACTTCGGAGGAGGAGGTGACGTTATCGGACGAGCCGACTTCAGAGGCGGCGACTTCAGAGGCGACGTCGTCAGACGAGCCGACTTCAGACGAGCCGACTTGGGAGGCGACGTCGTCAGACGAGCCGACTTCAGACGAGCTGACTTGGGAGGCGACGTCGTCAGACGAGCCGACTTCAGACGAGCCGACTTGGGAGGCGACGTCGTCAGACGAGCCGACTTCAGACGAGCCGACTTGGGAGGCGACGTCGTCAGACGAGCCGACTTCAGACGAGCCGACTTGGGAGGCGACGTCGTCAGGGGAGCCGACTTGGGAGGCAACGTCGTCAGGGGAGGCGACTTGGGAGGCGACGTCGTCAGGGGAGCCGACTTCAGACGAGCCGACTTGGGAGGCGACGTCGTCAGGGGAGGCGACGTCGTCAGACGAGCCGACTTGGGAGGCGACGTCGTCGGACGAGCAGACTTGGGAGGCGACGTCGTCGGACGAGCAGACTTGGGAGGTGACGTCGTCGGACGAGCAGACTTGGGAGGCGACGTCGTCGGACGAGCAGACTTGGGAGGCGACGTCGTCGGACGAGCAGACTTGGGAGGCGACGTCGTCGGACGAGCCGACTTCAGAGGAGACGTCATCAGACGAGCCGACTTCAGAGGAGACGTCATCAGACGAGCCGACTTCAGAGGAGACGTCATCAGACGAGCCGACTTCAGAGGAGACGTCATCAGACGAGACGACTTCAGAGGAGACGTCATCAGACGAGCCGACTTCAGAGGAGACGTCATCAGACGAGCCGACTTCAGAGGAGATGTCATCAGACGAGCCGACTTCAGAGGAGACGTCATCATCAGGACTGGACCGGGCGTTGACTTCAGGACAGGCACGGGCGTCGACTTCAGGACAGGCACGGGCGTCGACTTCAGGACAGGCACGGGCGTCGACTTCAGGACAGGAACGGGCGTCGACTTCTGGACAGGAACGGGCGTCGACTTCTGGCCCGGGGGCGTCGACCCTTGAACTGGAGGAGGCGTCGACCCCCATCGACTTCTGGTCTGGGGGCGTCGATTCCTGGTCTGGAGGCGTCGACTTCTGGTCCATCGACTTCCGAACCGTCAACCCCTGGACCGTTGACCCCTGGACCGTCAACCTCTGGTCCGGAACCGGAACCATCTGCTTCGGGGTCAGAACCGTCTGCTTCTGGGCCGGAACCGGAACCGTCTGCTTCTGGGCCAGAACCGGAACCATCTGCTTCTGGGCCCGAACCTTCTGCTTCTGGGCCGGGACCGCCTGCTTCCGGACCGGTATCATCAGCTTCTGGGCTGGAGGCAGAGCTGCTGCAGGAGGAGCTGCCTGGCCAGGCTGGACCAGATGCGGTGCGACCTCCGGGACCACCGCTGGAACTGGATGCGGAGCGTCCACCGGGGCCACTGCTGGAGGTGGCTGCGACAGAGCAGGTGGTGCTGAGAACTGTGAAAGCAGGGAGGACAGACCGTCCAGCTGATGCTCCTTAAGGCTGAGGGTCCAATGGAGCTGGGCCAGCTTAGCCCGGAGATCGGCGAGCTCCGCTGGGTGAACACCGGGCTCGCTAGTCTGGTCCTGAGATGAGGAGGATAGAGCGTCCAGGCGGGATTCCTGGAAGCTGATGAGCTGGCGGAACCGGCCAAGCTCCGCCTGGAGACTGACGAGCTCAGTCAGCTGGGCTGCGGCCAACGCTCCTCCCTCAGCAGATGACGGAGGCGCCGATTGGGTCGGAGCCGGAACTGCTGGTCTGGCCGGGGGCTTGTCCAAACTGCTGCGCAGAGCAGGGGCAGCGGCGGGCACACAGCTCCGTCCCGGAACACAGGACTGCGGGGGAGCCCGGCGTCTCTCCCCATGCCGTGGACCAACGCCGGGGGAGCACACAGCCAGACGGGTGCCCACGTAACTGGAGTGATCCGAACGCGTCTCTCGATCCGGTCTCTCATCAGGCGCTGGGAGGGTGGAGAGGAAGGCCGAGGGTGCACGCCGGCGCCATCGTCCGCGGCGAGGCGGAGCTGGAGCTGGAGAAGCCGGGTGGTGGCTTGGAGCGTGCCACTGGAGCAGGTACTCCCTCGGGAGAATCTCCCCGCTGGTTCCTTCAATTGGTTGCTTCATTCTGTCAGGGTGCGCTGGTGAGTGGAGCGGAGGTGAGGATGCAAATGCAGGGGAGAAAGCAGGCAGGCAGACAAACTGGACAACTGAAAGGGTTTTAATGATTCACGCACGCAGGACATGGAAACAATGAAGCAACAAGAGACAAAGGACTGGAGGGGTTTAAATACAGGAGGGCTGGGAGCTTGGGTGATTGGGAAACAAGAGGCAGGTGGGAGCAATCAACAGGGACACAGGCTGAACCACATGGAGAGACAGGACAGGGTGTGACAAATAAGTTACGAGTTACTTACTCTGAACATTAGAGGCAGAACGTTCTGATCTCACACTGCTTTTGTAAGTTTTAAAATGCCTCTTTGTTTGCAGTTTGGACCCCTGATGAGGAGAAGACATCCGAAACCAAACTAGAAAGTCCATTCCAACCAGAAGGCATGAATCCCATCATCAACTCTACTTCCAGAGCCAACCTGGCCCTCATCAGCAATGCACTGGCAGCTTACACTCACATATCAGGTAAATCAGTCAAATCTACTAGCTATGCGACGGGCCATAAATGCTTTAATTTAAAATGTCTCAGAGGGAGAGATGAAACTTTTATTGCTAGCAGCATGCAATAAATCAGTGCACCGTCTACTTTTATACTATTAAATTAATGCCAATGACTGCATTTTGCTTTTTTTGGAACCTCCAATTTTTGCATTTGTAAAGGTTGGGTAAAGGTGGTCCAGTTGAATTTAGATTTAAATGAAAGATTTTGTATTTCTTGAGGGAATGCATATGGCCCGCTTGCCTTTCATGGCAGAGTTTTTCAACATCTTGTGTTGAGAAATGCATTAAATCTGGAAAACGCTGCACGTGAGGTCACGCAGTACCACAAGATCTTGCACAATCATCTTTTGCAGTGTTTAGTATGGATGAAAGTTTTGATCATTGTTTTTTTATTCAAACATCATCATCGGAACGCCAAGGGACACAAACAAATTGAGATATTTGTCCATATTGGCTGAAAGACTTTGTGATCGCATGGAGGATGCTGCAGCTAAGCTAAATGTAAACACTTACTCCGAGCCAAACCACCGGGATGATTGTAACGTGGAAGTCCTGAATCCTGGATGGGAAGTGATGGAATAAGAATGCAAGTCGGAAAAGAAGCAACCTACCAAACAGTGATCGTCCGGGAACATCATTTTCTGTGGCTGAAATCAAAAAGATGTTAAAAATTGTTGATTAGCGAGTGAAAAAGGCTGCTTGCCCCACGGGATCTTGGTGACCAAAGCCTACTGGTTGTGCAGCACCAGGCTAAAGACCAAAGGTGACAGATAATCTGCTGCTGTGGCCCCCAGACTCTGGACCTCTCTCCCCCTGAGCCTGAGATCAGTGGACTCAGTGGTCTCCTTTAAAAAGCAGCTGAAGACTCACCTGTTCAAGCTGGCTTTTGTATGACCTTCTTCATCCACTCTCTCTTTATTCTGCTCTCCCCACCTATTCCACCTTCCTCAGGATCCACTGATTTCCCTCTTTCCTGTTCACTCTCTCTCTTTCTTAACATTTTGTTTTTAATCACAAATTGTCTATTTTTGCTCATTTTAAATATATTTGTAACCATTTTCTAAATTTTTTTCTATTTTTACATTTTTTGTTTTTGTGAAGCGCCTTGTGATTTTTATCGCGAGAGGCGCTATAGAAATGATACTTTCTTCTTCTATACGATGTAGAACCTCCATCATACAATTTAGATGCTTTATGTAGAAATGGCGTTTTTTTTTTTTTTTTTTTTGGAGTAACGTGGCTTTTTTCATTGCTCTTTCCAACTGAATCATTTGTCCTCAATAAAAGAAAAAAGATACGACCTGTAGAGGACGGTAATAGAAAGGGTTAAGGGATATAAAAGAGAGTTTTGGGTTGTAGTCGAGCTCGGAGATCACAAGAAACTAACAAATCAAGCCAAGTGTGGTGTCAAATATAACTCGCTAAACAGGTTAGAAAACGCTGAAATAAACCACTCTTTGTCATGTTTTCTACAAGAAATCAACTCTGACTTCCGTGCTTTTTCTCCTCTAACAGACCACCCAGAAAGGGCAGCACTTTTCTTCGTCTGCGGCGTGTGTTTGGGCCTCTTCCTCACTCTCTTCGCCCTGGTGGTCCAGATCTCCTGTCGCACCGACTGCCAGCCCCGTCAGCGTGCCCCAGCGAAGAAGCGAGCACGCCCTGCGGACTCGTCCTCCGACTCCAGCAACTCCGACTCGGATTGGGATACCACCTCGGACCTGTCGGCGCAACGGCACAGACGCTTCGAGCGCACGCTAAACATGAACGTGTTCACGTCGGCGGAGGAGCTGGAGAGGGCGCAGAGGCTAGAGGAACGAGAGCGAATCATACGGGAGATCTGGATGAACGGACAACCGGACATCCCCGGGACGCGGAGCCTAAATCGCTATTACTGACGACGGCTTGACTTGAACCAAATCTTGGACTGAAGGGGGAACTCGACAAATGGTGAACCCTGAAAGGGGTGGACTGGGACAAATACTCACCCCTGGCATTTGTCCGTCCTACTGGCCATTACCTTAGTTCTCCGAGCGAGCGAAAGAACGGTGCTGTAGCCCGCTCGATCCCTTGATGGGGGATCGCCAAGCAGAGGGTGGGATGGCGGACTGGATCAGCCCAGCGGGATGATGCCCAGTATGCCAGATGGCCTCCACCCTGATGAGGAACAGAGGAAGATTTATTTGCATCATGTGCTGCACCCCCTTCATTCAAACAATAAGCGCCCACTCTACATGGCAAGCTAGCTCTTACTGCTGGAAGTGAGAGGTGAAAGGCTACACTGACTTGTCGTTGACCTCAGCAGGACTTTTTGAAGTGGGGATTTATGGGTTGGCTGCTTTAGACATACGCAGGCTTGCAGAGACTGAACCAAGGTCTGTTTTATGCAGAGCAGCTGGAAGAAACTGCTACACTTGGAGCTTTATGCTCAGTACTTTCCAGTATTCAGCGTGTGCTTTACCAGATGGGCATTTTGAATGAAACATGCTTGACAATGGGTCGATGTAGGACAATCATTCCACAGAGAATAACCATGCTGCATTTTGAGCTTAATAAAACCAAAAGATTTTAGTTTTTCTACACGTGTGCAGGGGATTCATCTCAACCCTTATGAAATATATTTTATAATATTTAATAGTTTATCTATGTTTACTTTGTTTTAAGTATGCTTAATTATGAGATATTTTTATACGTGGCAAAGGCTGCCTGGCACCTCAGGGATGCAATCCTAGTATTTCTGGTTGGATGATGTGCTCATCGAGCCATGATCGGCTCAATTAAATAGGTTTTTCAGCATTTAAGGAAATTTTGAAATATGATGTAAAAGGCCTCAAAGAGGATTTTAGTGATTTATAGTTATTTTTGATACAGAAATTCACAGTGCAGTGCCTTTTTTTAGCCATTAAGTCATAGTTGTCACCCATAACTAGTGTTTTTTTAACTGAAATCACATTTCTATTTCTATTTATACAACCATTTTGCTATGGAAAAGGTGGAGCTTGTGTAAAATCTCAATGTTTCTACTGAATATTGCACTTGCCATCTACTCTGTAAAATTGCAAGAATATGCCAAATTTGTAAATGTGGTTTTGCTTGAAATTACTTTTTCTAGTCTTTGATGATCAAAGATTGTGTGAACTTCAGGGCTCCAACAAACCACGGCCTAATTCCATAGCTGTCAGTGCTGAACAGATGCTCATGGTGATCACTGCTTGCTGCCATCTGAAGAAGGAACCAGCACTGAAGATGAAACGTGCAAGTGCCAGTTTAATAACATAAGCTATAGTCAGATTCATTTAAAGGCTTTTATTGTCTTAATGGAACATTTTAAAGCATTAAGTTTCCCATCTTCTTGTCTAGACTTGGAGGAATTTCACATGTGCTAATAACAATGTAAGACTCCTGTGCTTGGAATAAACTGTTCAAATTTAAACTGCTGTTGTTTTTCCTTGGAAATTTTAATTTTCACAGCTTTATCTGCACAATCCTTTTCTCATAGCACAGAAACAAATCAAATCAAATGATAGGTAGTCACGCAAATAAGAGCAAACTTTGTTACCCAAGTTAGGGAGAGTCGGCAGGATTTAATGAGCAATGTTGCCCCCTGGTGGCCACATGAGGGTTTTGCTATTTACGAATTAGAAAATATATAAAGAATTAAGAAATCATTTTATTTCTAATTTCTTTTTATTATTCCTGTTCATTTTTATCGTAAAATTTGATTTGTCTCATTTTTTATGACGGAAGTTTTATTTTTCTGTATTTAATTTTAGAAATTGTTACTGTTTTATCGTTTCCATGGAAACTACAAACTAACCTCAATCGTTGTCGTGTGGCTTTGTATTTCGAGAAGCTCTTCAGGAGACTCAAATTGTTTTAGAGACAATAATTTAGAAAACTGCTTCCCGGGAAAATGGCTTTTAACTGGAATAACTATGGGATACCATTTTTACCAGGATACTCGTTTAGAGAGGAAAGGGTAAACTGACACACCTGAAGCTAAAGCTAGCTAGCAAAACAGAATTCTTGATGTAAATGACCGGTAAACAAACACTAAATTTAGCATTTAGCAGGCTTTTGCTGTTTTTCATTATTCCTTTACTTTTTATTTCTGTAATAGAAATGTCATTGCTATAATTCCTCAGGCGTTTGTGGAAAAAAGAAATTACTAATTAGTCATAATTAATAAACATATTTGAACATTGTTGAATGCTTTCAGCTCCATAAAAAAGTTCTGATAACATTTAGAAGAACTGTTACACAAATTATTCACATCTGTAATTTATTCATCTTATTTGTTAATATAAAGCTTTAGTGTGAAATGTCTAGTAACAGCACATTTTTGCAGAAGACGGCTAAAATACTCTTTTACTATGAGATTTTTCTCAACTGCGGGGATTTTACCATCTGTTCTGTAAAACCAACATCAGCAAAACTGATCATTAATCCTTGTGCAAGTTGGCTTGCAATGAATGAAAAACCTTATACACTATATAAGAATACAACTTTTCTAGACCAGTGTTCATTTAAAGAGCAAGTCATCCCCAAATCAACTTTTTTTTCTTCGTCTTCGTCTTCGTCTTCCTCCGCTTATCCGGGTCCGGGTCGCGGGGGCAGCATCCCAATTAGGGAGCTCCAGGCCGTCCTCTCCCCGGCCTTGTCCACCAGCTCCTCCGGCAGGACCCCAAGGCGTTCCCGGACCAGATTGGAGATGTAACCTCTCCAACGTGTCCTGGGTCGACCCGGGGGCCTTCTGCCGGCAGGACATGCCCGAAACACCTCCCCGGGGAGGCGTCCAGGAGGCATCCTGACCAGATGCCCAAACCACCTCAACTGGCTCCTTTCGATCCGAAGGAGCAGCGGTTCTACTCCGAGTCCCTCCCGAATGTCCGAGCTCCTCACCCTATCTCTAAGGCTGAGCCCGGCCACCCTACGGAGGAAACTCATTTCGGCCGCTTGTATCCGCGATCTCGTTCTTTCGGTCATTACCCAAAGCTCATGACCATAGGTGAGGATTGGGACGTAGATCGACCGGTAAATCGAGAGCCTGGCTTTCTGGCTCAGCTCCCTCTTCCCCACGACAGATCGGCTCAGCGTCCGCATCACTGCAGACGCCGAACCAATCCGCCTGTCGATCTCCCGATCCCTCCTACCCTCACTCGTGAACAAGACCCCGAGATACTTAAACTCCTCCACTTGAGGGAGGACCTCTCCCCCGACCCGGAGGTGGCAAGCCACCCTTTTCCGGTCGAGAACCATGGTCTCAGATTTGGAGGTGCTGATCCTCATCCCAGCCGCTTCACATTCAGCCGCGAACCTACCCAGCAAGAGCTGAAGGTCAGAGCTGGATGAAGCTAGGAGGACCACATCATCCGCAAAAAGCAGAGACGAGATTCTCCTGCCACCAAACTCGACACACTCCACACCACGGCTGCGTCTAGAAATTCTGTCCATAAAAGTGATGAACAGAACCGGTGACAAAGGGCAGCCCTGGCGGAGTCCAACCCTCACTGGGAACAGGTCCGACTTACTACCGGCTATGCGGACCAAACTCACGCTCCTCTGGTAAAGGGACTGAATGGCCCTTAACAGAAAGCCACCCACCCCATACTCCTGGAGCGTCCCCCACAGGGTGCCCCTGGGGACACGGTCATAAGCCTTCTCCAAATCCACAAAGCACATGTGGATTGGTTGGGCAAACTCCCATGCCCCCTCCATCACCCTTGCAAGGGTATAGAGCTGGTCCACAGTTCCACGGCCAGGACGAAAACCACATTGCTCCTCCTCTATCTGAGATTCAACTATCGATCGGACCCTCCTCTCCAGTACCTTGGCGTAGACCTTTCCAGGGAGGCTGAGGAGTGTGATCCCCCTATAGTTGGAACACACCCTCAGGTCACCCTTCTTAAAGATGGGGACCACCACCCCGGTCTGCCACTCCCTAGGAACTGCCCCCGATGACCACGCAATGTTGTAGAGACGTGTCAACCATGACAGCCCTACAACATCCATAGCCTTGAGATACCCAGGACGAACCTCATCCGCCCCCGGGGCTCCGCCGCTGTGTAGTTGTTTGACTACCTCAGCAACTTCTGCCCCCGAGATCGGACAGTCCATCCCCAGGCCTCCCAGCTCTGGTTCCTCCTCGGAATGCGCATTGGTGGGATTGAGGAGCTCCTCAAAGTATTCCTTCCACCGTCCGACTATAGCCTCAGTTGACGTCAGCAGCTCCCCATGCCCACTGTAAACAGTGTGAGCGAGTTGCTGCCTTCCTCTCCTGAGGCGCCGGACAGTTTGCCAGAACCTCTTTGGAGCCGATCGATAGTCTTTCTCCATGGCCTCACCAAACTCCTCCCACGCCCGAGATTTTGCCTCGGCAACTGCCACTGCTGCACCCCGCTTGGCTATCCGGTACCTGTCTGCTGCCTCCAGAGACCCACAGACCAGCCACGCCCTGTAGGCCTCCTTCTTCAGCCTGACGGCTCCCCGAACCTCTGGTGTCCACCAGCGGGTACGGGGGTTGCCACCACGACTGGCACCGGCCACCTTACGACCACAGCTAGCAACAGCCGCCTCGACAATCGCAGAGTGGAACTTTTTTTTCTGATAAACTATATAAATGTGCGTAATCGAGCTGCAGACACATGTAGACAATAGTCTTGCACTTTAGTTAAATTTTTAATTTTCTGCCTAAAACTATCAGTGTTGTGCTCTCTTCAGCTGAAAATTCTGCACTGCATTTGAATTTAAATCTGTCATCGCCATTGGCTAAGAGATACCCTATGGTGTTAGCTGGTACCATATGATGTCACAATGCCGTTGTGAGCCTGTGACTCTTTAAAGAAAACAGAGTTTAGTTATTATTCACAGCTGCTAGTGATTGGAAAATTGGTAAATCGAAACCTATAACACCTTTTGGTGCTGGATCACTCAAACTAACCAACTTATTACAGAAAATTACATGGAAATACACCAGTGTCATATTTTTATTCTATGTACTTTGCATCTACAAGCGTCATGCTACATTGTGAAGTTTCGTGTACATGACTTCATAATTTCTGGTGTGATTTAAGTCCACAATAAAGTATTTGTTTCGACAGAAGTCCTCCTTCCACCTACCCCAGACCCTGACCTATAAGAACGGCTTTGCTTTGCCTTGTCGCCCATCCGCTGGCATTGGTCAGGAGCCTCTAGTATCAGAGCAGCTGTCCCAACAGGAGATCAGTGAGCTGTCCTTTGAGAAACCAGACCTTACATATCACTTTGATGACAAGACAGTATACGAAGACTTCATCCCAGCTTATGTGAAATTCGACAAAAAGGTTGAACCTAGAAAATCTGATATGATCATTTATCCATAAAATGTAAATTACCGTTGACAACCATCTGCTTGTATTCTAGGTACTTTGTTTCTTTGCATACTTCTTGGAGGATGTCTGGAATTCACCTGACGAGGATCACCGTATACGCCATGTGGTCATTTATTACTATCTCGAGGATGACAGCATGTGCATCTGGGAGTCCGCAGTGATGAACTCTGGGATATCACAGGGGAAGCGGCTCAAACGCCATCGGGTGCCAAAGAATGACCGTGGAGACTATTACCACTGGAAAGACTTCAACCTTGGTATAGACCTGGAAGTGTATGGATACAAGTACCATCTTACTCACTGTGATACATTCACAAAGGTACATCACTCCTGATTCCTGTTATCATCCCTATGAAACAAGTGTTGTGTGTGAGCCGCTTCTGCAACTAGTCTTTTGGTTTGAGGCTTTTCATTCACTCAACAGGACTTCATGGAACATGAGGGTATAGTTCTGAATGAGCCTGAGCCGATGCCTGAGGATCCTTACATCAAACATCGTCAACTCTCACCACCGCCCCGTATCACTTCACCCACACCCGACATAACTCACCGGTTTCTTACCATGGACCTCAAGGTAAAGGAAAGTCCTTGTTTCCAAGTCACTGCAGCAATAAAACGAGCACATCTGGTGACCTTTACAACTTTAACATGCAGTTGGAGGAGAACAGGCACATAACAAGAATGCTATTTTGTGCAGGATTGTTACTTGTTAATGTTTTGTATATTTTATGGATTTATACTGGCTGTTGCAAGTACAATCGTAGTATGTTCCAAAGGACATCTCATTAAAGAACATTTAAGACTACTTACCTGCAACAAAACCTATATCCAGATTAACTATAATCACTTTATTTCAGCAACTAAAAAGTAAAAAAAAGACTCCAAAATGTCAACCATTTATTATTTTATAAACCTCCACATTGCCATACAATTTTATACTTAGTTACAGTTCAATTTTGTATAATATTTTTAACATTTTTTTAAAATATTTCTGCCTAATTAATGCCGTTATATTGATTTGATACTGTTGCTGAGGTTTGAAACTGTGTAACATAGTCCACTTTGACATATATGTAACATCCCATTAATACCAAATGTTTAATATTTGACAAATCTGTTTTTAAGAGCTTTAACAGGATTTGTACTTTCCTCAAAAACCTGAATCCTGTACATTTCTTCTGCCCTCTGGTTGAAGCTCTGTGTTGTAGGCAACATGTGCAACTGTATTTTTTTAATAGTTGTTTGAAACCATAATGAAAAAGACTAGGTACATTTTTTTTATTCTAGGTTGACATTAGCCAATTAAAAGAATAATTTCAAGTGAGACAGAACAGTTTCCTGCTACTCTGCCCCCTGTCAGGTACGTTGGCAGATCTGAAGCGTGACTGAGAGGATCTGTTGCCCAGACACGGAGTGATGGAAATAACCAGCGTGGTTATCTCCTGTAGGTTTGGATTGAAGGTTAGAGGGCTGGTAAGCCTGGAGACTCGATACAAAGTCTGGTGAGAACGATGACTGAGTAATGAATGAAACGCCGGCACTTCCTTAAGTAGTGTCAGCGTGATGACGTCAGCCGCCACGTTGGTGGCAGGAATGATGGGACAGAAGTCAGCGGGATGAGTTCGTAACACCCTCTTAGTTGAAAATGGAATTACAACTGTTGCAAACAACCCTGCTGCAGCTAGCGCTAATACAAGCTAACACTAACATGAGCTAACTAATAAAAAAAAAGACATGAAGTAAAAAGATCCCCATTGTTGGACGAAAATATCATTTTAGCATCAGATAACAAAGCCAGGTCACCATCAGTCTGTGATTTTGTAGCCTCCTTTAGCTCCCTCAAACTAGCATAGGCTGCACCGATGTTCACTCTGGTTTAGCTCTTTGCTTCACCTCAAACGGCATTATTCTCTTACTTTTACTTCCAGGCTCTGCCATGATGCCAACAATAAAGCTAATTTCTTCTTTTTCCTCATCTTTATTGACGACAGTGTAACCCAGGACACAGTTAGATAACTTAAGATCAGGAATGTTTAGATAGACCAGCAGCTAGGCTCAGCGGGATTACAATAGGGACTAAGGTGGGTGCAAAAGGAAATGGCAGGAGGCAGGAAATGAGCAAAAATGGAAAATATTTAGTTAGAAAAATGTGAAATGAGAATACAATCTTAACAATGCAATACTCAGATCAACAATTCTGAGCCGGCCCAAAATAAACAAAATAAAACCCCAGTCTTATTTTGGACTCAATAGTTGAGTTGTCCTTTTAGTCGTTAGTCAAGTCAAAGCGTCTTTTCAGTTTCAGTTCTTTCTGGTTCAGTGGTTTGAGTTGTTACCACTTGGTGTTCACATTCAGTGAGAAGAGTGATGTGTCTTCAATTGACGTGTCTTTGGGTTCTGGGCAAAGGCTCGCCATCTCCATCTGGAGAGAATCCAGGAATCCGATCCAGTTCTTAATCGGCAAGGATAAAAACTTAGCCAAGATGAGGTATCAATATGAATGCAGCAGTGGACTCCCATCACACGGCTGCTCCAGCTCATACTCTCATCACTTAATGCAACAAATATCCTAAAATAGCTTTTAGGAATTGCCAACAGTGGAGTACAACACGTTTCTGCCTTTAAACTCACCAAGGTGAAACATTAAATCCAGAACAGCTCGTGTACAACCGGTCTCGTTCATGTCCAAGTGCAAAAAGACCATATAACAGGAAACAAAGTGGGAAAGAACGGATCTGACTTCCTCCTTTCAATGTAAACGTTTTTTCATAATAAAAGCACAAATAAAATTTGATACAGGTAAGAGAAGAGAAAAAGGACGTTTTCTCTGCTGGGTTACCATAGGCAAACTGAAAGGCTAACTGCTAGCATAACAGCTAACTGGCACAAAGCAGGTAAAAAGCTCCCCCTACCCGCTCCACAAAACTAAGTGCAGTATCTGGCCAGCAGCGGGCTGCAGAGTGTTGTCAGATAAGAAACTGGTCAAGTTTATAACTCAACAATCACTAGCTTAAAGTTTAAAAAACTATTTAGTGTTGCTTACAAAAAGATTTTAATTTCCTTATTACAGTTTCATTACAGGTGGTTAGTTATTAAAAATTCTAAATAAAAAAAACAAATTTTCAAATATCATATTGTTTTTAAAAAATCTGGCACAACGTTATTTATTATTTATTTCAAATACTAATGATATATTTCTTTGTAATACCAGTTCAGCATTCAGGCTGTTTGATTCTTTGGTCAGGTGCTACGTTTTCATGCCCTGTATGACAAATCGGACACACCTTATGAAGATCCCCGGCCAATGATCATCTACTATTACCTGGTGGACGACACAGTGGAGATCAGTGAGGTCCATGAACACAACAGCGGCCGGAATCCCTCCTCTCGCTTCTTGCGCAGGCAGAAGATCCCCAAGAAGCTGAAATCTGGTGAGATAAAATTAACCAAATGTAGTTTGTGAGACGAGGTATTTCATAAAAAATATTGACACAAAGTGGTGGTGTCAAAATACACCAAATTACACCAAAATACACAACATGTTTTCAACTCCTCTAATAAGTGAAAATAAATGCTTTTTGTCCTGGATAGATTTTCTCATTTTTCTCTCTTTTTAAAATGTGTTTTGTAAGAAACGGCCCCTAGCTGTATAATGGAGCTCACTAAGAAGGATGTAGAGGAGTACTACTCCCCCAAAGACTTCCAGCTGGGTCAAAAGGTCACCCTGCTGAACCATCACTTCTTGCTCTACAACTGTGATGCCTTCACTAAAGACTATTACCAGAAGAACTTCCCAGACATGGAGATGAAACCCACAGAGATACCAGTGAAGAAGGAATCTCCAATTCCAGAGAAGGTCTGGAACACATTCTTCGTATTACTTTGTCAGACTAAAGATATCTGTTGTAACATTAATATTTCTCTCAAACCTTACTTTTTCTGCATCCTGTTGCCAACATGCACAGCACATACCACCCTACAATGGATTCGGTTCTCTTGAAGACTCCCTTCAGAACTGTTTGTCTTTAATTCCCAAGCGTCCTAAAGGGAACCTGCAGAAGATGTTGAAGGGTGACACTGTGTTGCGCTACAGCGCCCGGTTGGTGAGGAAACCTTTGAAATCTCGAATACTTAATGATTAGAATTCTGACATTTCTTTTTGTTTCGACTTGAAAAGCCTTTGCTAACAATCATAAAACAAACAAAGGTGTGGAACACTCATTTAATCAGTAAAGTTAAAGTCCCATAGTTGTCACACACTGGTGTGGTGAAAATTGTCCTCTGCATTTGACCCATCTCTGTGGGGAGCGGTGAACTGCAGCGGTGGCTGCGCTCGGGAACTATTTGGTGATTTAACCCCCCAATCCAACCCCTTAAAGCTAAGTGTGAAGCAGGGAGGCATTGGGTCCCATTTTATTTAGTCTTTGGTATGACTCGACCGGTTTTTGAACTCCAATCTCCCAGTAGCAGGGCGTACACTCTATCACTAGGCCACTGAAGTGGGTAATATAGTTACACACACTGCAGTTCCCCTCCTAAACTCTAGGTTTTGCTACAGGAAATGTATTAGCTCTACAGAGCAGGAATGGTCCTCAGAGTAAATCAGGAAGTTTAGTTTCAGATGCGCTTGTTTCAGGAACTAGCAGAATGCCACAACAGAGCAGAGCTTATCACGGCAGAATTTGGAGTCATATTTCCTGATATTTGGACCTCCCACCTTGGGTTGGATAACAGCAATGTGACTAACACTGACTTGCAACGTTGATGTTTTGTCTCCACAAATAACACAAGCCTGGATGAGTTCTGCTGTGTGGTGGAATTGCTAATGCTAACGGTTAGCTTCTACTTGCCCAGACGTTCTTAGCTGTTTCCTGACCGCTAAACCAACAACAGCCTTCCCTGTCAAGATGGGTGAGTCCATGAATGTTCAGCAACAGTGTGACGTAGATCTGTCAGGATTTTCAACATTCAGTCAAATTCTACCTTAGTAAACATTAAACTGTAAAATTTAAGAATTTGGATTTTTATGTACTCGGTTTTTAAAGGTGTGATTCGCTCATTTTTTTGGTACATTTGCTGTGGTCTTGTAAGTCATACTCTGGGGAAACAAAGCTCCAGTGCACAATTTTCAGGAAGTAGAAGTGAGCTGCATCAGAGTAGAGTTTCAGATGGTGGGATTTGGAGTCTTATTTCCTGATATTTGAACATATCGCCCCAGATTGGATAACAGCACTGGAACATTGATGTTTTATCTCCAAAAATAACACAAACCTGGAGGGGTTTTTCCATGTGGTGGAGTTGCTGATGCTGACATTTACCTTCAAATTCTGGATTTTCACCATCTATTTTCTACCAGAGACTAATTCAGGAGATAAGTGTAGGAGACTATTTTCACATTCAGCCTGCAAGGAAAACTCAGCAACCAATTATAATCAGAAATAATCGTTAAAAAATGGTTTTTCAGTGTTCGACACCTTTAAACTAAAATATGTTTGATTTTGGTTCCAGGACTCGGTGAATCCTGAGGATGAAGGCCGACAGTTTGTTATGTCGTACTTCCTGTTGGACGACACGATCAGCATTTTTGAGAAACCTGTCTGCAACTCTGGTTTCATCGGTGGGAAATTCCTGAGAAAGACTTGCGTTCCCAAGCCAGGCTCTTCCGTGGAAAATCCAGAGTTCTACTCACCTGTGGACTTTGCCATTGGAGCCACTGTAGAAGGTAGCATTTCAATCCATCCATCCATTTTCATCCGCTTATCCGAAGTCGGGTCTCGAGGGCAGTAGCCTAAGGCGAGAGGCCCAGACTTCCCTCTCCCCAGCCACTTGGGCCAGCTCCTCCGGGGTAATCCCAAGGCGCTCCCAGGCCAGGTGAGAGACATAGTCCCTCCACCGTGTCCTGGGTCTACCTTTAGGTCTCATCCCGGTTGGATGTGCCCAGAAAACCTCACCAGGGAGGCGTCCAGGAGGCATCCTGACCAGATGCATAAGCCACCTCAACTGGCTCCTCTCGATGTGGAGGAGCAGTGGGTCTACTCCGAGCCCCTCCCGAATGACTGAGCTTCTCACCCTATCTCTAAGGGAGAGCCCAGCCACTCTTCGGAGAAAACTCATTTCGGCCGCTTGTATCCGTGATCTCGTTCTTTCGATCACTACCCAAAGCTCATGACCATAGGTGAGGGTAGGAACGTAGATCAACCGGTAAATCAAAAGCTTCGCCCTCTGACTCAGCTCTCTCTTCAACCACGACAGACCGATACAACACCCGCATCACTGCAGATGCAGCACCAATCCGCCTATCGATCTCACGCTCCAGTTTTCCCTCACTGGTGAACAAGACCCTGAGATACTTAAACTCCTCCACTTGGGGCAGGACCTCATCCCTGACCCGGAGAAGGCATTCTACTCTTTTCCGAATCAAGACCATGGTCTCAGATTTAGAGGAGCTGATTCTCATCCCAGCTGCTTCACGCTCGGCTGCGAACCGCTCCAGCGAAAGCTGAAGATCACGGTCTGATGAAGCCAACAGGACCACATCATCTGCAAAAATCAGAGACCTGATCCTCAGGCCACCAAAACGGATGCCCTTCACACCTTGACTGCGCCTAGAAATCCTGTCCATAAAGGTGATGAACAGAATCTGTGACAAAGGGCAACCTTGGCGGAGTCCAGCTCGCACTGGGATGGAGCCCGACTTACTGCCGGCAATGCGGACCAAGCTCTGACACCGGTCATACAGGGACCTAACAGCCCTTATCAGAGGGCCTGGTACCCCATACTCCCGGAGTACTCCCCACAGGGCCCCCGAGGGACACAGTCAAACGCCTTCCCCAAATCCACAAAACACATGTAGACTGGTTGGGCAAATTCCCACGCACCCTCCAGGATCCCCCTAAGGGTATAGAGCTGGTCCAGTGTTCCACGGCCAGGACAAAAACCACATTGCTCCTCCTGAATCTGAGGTTCAACAAACCGACGGACCCTCCACTTCAGATTTGACCTAGTGGATTTTCAGAGGTTTTCGGGCTGCTCTTTGTCTGATCCCTCACCTAGGACCTGTTTGCCATGGCTGACCCTACCAGAGGCAGAAAGCCTCAGACAACTTAGCTCCTAGGATCATTGAGACACTCAAACCCCTCCACCACGGTAAGGTGGCAGCCCAGGGAGAGGTAGCATTTCAATTTAATCCCCAAATTCTGAATGTTAATATTTACTCTAAAGTTTCACCAAGATAGACAATGTTTTATAATGAATGCCATACCGAGCTGCATTCATCACTAATGCAGCTGACGGTTTGTTTCCAGTTTTAGGCCATCGCTTTGTGCTGACCGGCGCTGCCCCACAAGTGCTTAAGTACTTGGAGTCAATCTCCAGCAAGATTCCCTCTCACACACTGGATTCTTTGAGACGTACACTTGGTGAGAAGATGGCAGAAAACCAACCAGACGAGCAGAACGGTAAGAATCAAATCTGTCTTTATTCCCAACACTCCCACACAAACTGCCTGGTTTAATAAAAAGAATTGTGCATGAATGTAATTCTGCACTTTTGTTTCCTCTTCAACAGGCGAAGAACCAAAATCATCTCCGACATGAAAACTGGATTTTATTTCAATGTTTCTGCTTCAAAACACAGAAGAAACACTGAATGTTTAAAAGGTTTGACCTAGTGGATTTTCAAATAAATTTACAAACGGGAACGATGGAAATGATTTTAAAGACAGCATTCTCACCCTGCAGTAGTTCAGTAGCCCCAGTTGTGCTTTATTATTGGCGCTATACTAATAATAGCATCACTTTGCTTTTCTTCCTAAAAACACATCTGACCCAAAAACAAAATGCTTAGATACTCCAGATAATCCTACAACTTGCTTCAGAAAGTCATTTTATTGAAGACATTTAAGAAGAGAACCAAAACAAAACATGGAATGACAAAGGAGTAAACGTCTGTTGGGCTCTAAGGATTTCCTTGGATTTCATTATCCAGCGCTCAAGCTTAAGTCAATCAATCAATCAATCAAAGCTTTATTTATAAAGCGCCTTCCGCAACCCTGTCAGGAAGCCCAAAGTGCTGAACATGGTACAGTTGTAGGTAAATATATTGAATAAATCAACAATAAAAGCAATTCAAATTACAAAATACAAATTACAAAATACAAATTACAAAATACAAATTACAAGATAGATGAAACATTCTGGTACAGGACAAATGTGTGAAACACAATTGGATTGAGTGGATGGATTGAGTGAACCAATGAAAACTGTGAAATAAATCTGTTGTGACCGAGTGCCTGTGACATCACAGGAAGTTCCCGGCCAAAAGCTTGGTGGCCAACGGGCCGCTGGCTTCACTGAGAAGCTTCAGTCGGGGGCTAACGGTCGTTTAGTTCACCTTCTTAGGGGGATTTGAGTTTCTTTGTCCGAGGAGAAACTCCATTCTCAGCTTAAATGACTCTATTTTCATGGTAACCAGCTGGCAAGGAGACACGGGATGGAGAAGTCAAGATCAAGCAGTTCATTAAGATACAACATAAGTGGCAAAACTCACTTGAGTCTCTCTTTAGTGGCTGCAAGGGTTGCTTTGTATTGCCCTTCTTGCGGACGGCCTGTTCATGTCTGAACTCCCTCCAGCGCCTCAGCTGGAAGCGGATAAACTTCCAGAGGATCCAAGATTGAGTCAAGCACACCAGCAGTAGAACCATCGACATATATATATATATATATGGACAATGGGTTTCCATAGACCCCAATAACACGTTTCGGAAGAGAAATGGGAGGTTGCTACCACTGCCATTTTGACCGTGTCACAGGTTCCGTCAAGCCCAGACAATTCCACAAAAGGGAAGAGAGGTGGAGCTGAGGGTGGGGCTGTAAGGCTGGAATCAAATGACGACACCCGGTTGAACTAGCTACAAGCTAACCTGAAGCTAATCCAAAGCTAACGCGGAGATGGGAGCTAAGCTAATGGAGGTAGCTACCTAGCTACAACCAGAGCTAACTCTGTGGAACACCAGCGACCTGAAGCTCACACGGAGTTTGTGTGGAGGTTTGCGGCGCTTTTTCATGCAAACCATCTTTCTGTGGATAAAAAAGTATTAAATCGTTAAGTTTATAAGTTATTTGCTTAATGAAAATATGTTTTCCTTTGAGCAAGTTTTCAATATTATTAACGTACCGTATTTGCGGACTATAAGTCACTCCGGAGTATAAGCCGCACCAGCCATAAAAAGTATAATGAAGAAGAAAAAACCACATATAAGTCGCACTGGACTATAAGTCGCATTTTGGGTGGAAATTTTATTATTTTTCTTACAAAATCTGAGACCAAGTGTTTCACATTGCAAGACAAGTACCGGTAACAATAACAGAATAAACAACGCGGGCGCAGCAGCGCGCCACGGTCTCCAGTAGAGGATAGCGGTGTTTGAAACCCTCCCAGTGGGACAGGGGAGCTCATTCCTGGGTCGAAGCCGGCTCGCAGCCGTGCACCACAGCCTGCAGCAGGTGATGGCGGGGCGGAGGAGCTGAAACCCTGGCCGGATCCAGTGTGCAACAGGCTCCAGCAGGTGATGGCTGTGTGTTTTTTATTCCCAGTGGGGCAGGGGAGCTCATTCCTGGTCCAGAACCGGCCCGCAGCAGCGCGGTATAGCCTAGATAATTTGGTTTATAAGTCGCTCCGGAGTATAAGTTGCAGGACCGGCCAGACTATGAAAAAAAGTGCGACTTATAGTCCGGAAAATACGGTAGTTATTAGTATTTGAGATAAATTAGCAGGCTAACTACATTTCATATATTTCTAAAACTTGATACTTGTTTGTGTCTTGTACAGCCAAGTAGCCTTTATTCTGGACTCAGTACAATTCACCAAAAGTAAAGAGACTAAACAGATGAAGTAAGCACAAGATAACTTACTGGAAGAAGCTGAATTGTCATGAGAACCAGAACAAGAGAGCCTGATAACAGTCATGTGAAAATAACAATTAAAAAGTATGTATGTATAATAGAAATAAAAACATATTAGAATTAGTGTAACTCACTGTGATCCAAACAATAAATCAGCCATAGCTGATTAGCAATCATGAAATGAGGTCTGGGAGTTTTTAAGTTTCATTCTTTTATTACATTTTTTTCTGAGATCTATTAAAAGGTCACCATGGCAGCCTGTGTTTCCTCAACGTCGGCTACACAACGCAGTATGTAAGTTCCAAATACCTGTCTTGACCAATTCATGTATGGTTTTGTAATTTAAACAGCTAGGCCAAACCTGTTTTTTTTCTCCATAGCCATTTGGATCATTGGAGACAGCTACGTGAGGCGTGGTGCCCAGAGAGCTGCAGAGACCCTCAGAGACAACCTTGACCTCCCTGACGTCCGTGTCTCCTGGTTCGTTTGGGGCGGACTGAGGTGGAAAGACCTTCTCCCCTTCTTTTTCAACTCCATGCATGGAAGAGCAGCTCTTGATGTCCTTCTCATCCACTGTGGCGTCAATGGCATGGGGGTGGTCAGCAGTGTGAAGCTGGTCAACATGAAGAAGGAGGACCTGCACCGGCTTCACCTTCTACACCCTCATATGATGATCACCATGTCATCCATCACCCAAAGGTGTAGCTGGAGGGCAGGTGTAAAACTTGCTTAAATGGAGAAGGTCAGGAGGTTGAACAGTGTTATGGCTACATTTATTTCTAGCTTAAATGGTGCCGTTGTTGTGCATCCTCACATCACATCTTCCTGTACCGACACTTTGTGTCCTGTTATTTTATAAAATGTGATGTAAAAAAATAAATGTTTTTGCTCAATTACTGGAATTTCTTTGGTTAAGACAAAAAAGGAAGGAAGAATCATTTATGTCAAGTTGTTTCTACAACAGGCCCGTTTTAAGTCCAACAGTTTCTTAGCAGACAATAGAAATGTGTTCTTTACTAACTTTACTTGGTTTAAAAATCTTACTAAAATAAACCTTAGAGGCTGCCGTATTGCAAAACCCAATCATACTTGTTATGTAAATATTAGCTTTGTAGATATATTTTTTACAGATAGATATTTGTGTGCTAAAAAAACATAAACTTAAATAATTTGTCATTCTTTATTGAAAAACAACAAAATACAGGTATACAGAAAGTGTGGGAAAATGATAATGTGAAAGTATTGCTCTTTAAATGTAATACTATTTATCTTTAAAAAACTCTAAAAATGTCCTGTACAGCAACATGACAGATGAATGGTGGTCTGTCTGTCAGAATGTGCTGAACAGATTTGCTATATCAAGAGGAGCCTTTTGTGTACGAGTTTATGTTATTGTAGTATTGGTTTGGGTCATGTGTCGCCACATCAGCATGTAAATGCTGAATCAATCTAGAATAAAGAGGGTTGATAGGGGACAAACAAGTAAATAAGAGAGAAAAATAAAAACAACTAGGAAACCACCATAAAAACAGCAACCAGTTGCTGCACCTGTGAAGAAACATTTCTAAGAATCATCAAGAAACTGTAGGATGAACAACTTTAAACATGTAAACAATGAGCAACAAACATCAACAAGCATGTGTTCGTGTGTGTGTTGGGATGTGAAGTGTGAGGCCTCCAAGGATCAGGTGCACTCTGGAACCGCCCCAAGCACCAGGAAACCAGCAACCACCACAGAGCACAGAACCAACTCAGACCACCTCCCAGACAGCCGAGCACCTTGCTACAGATAACTCAGCAAGGCCACATCCAGAACCGGGCTGACACAGGTCATGGGCCACAGGACACAGGAATCACACAGCAACTCCACCTGAAACAGAATCATTAAAATTAGAATCAAATACAACTGTTGTTCAATATGACAAAACTGTCATGATCATGAGACAGACTAAACAGACTTTTAGCCAGACTGAAAAAATGTTGCCAGAAAAAATATTTGTGCTGCTATCATTGAAAAGATGTAAATAAAAGTTTCCAAAGGTTATAGGTCAAACCCCCTTTCAAACACCAGTGTTTACCTGCAGTCACACACCTGGCATGAATGAGTGAGGCATCTGCATGGTAATTCAAATGGAATTTTAAAGAAGGCAACTGGACTTCTTTGGTTTCATGAATATAGGAGGGTCGATCTTATTGTGTAGCTGTCTATTGTTGCTTGATAAGCAGAATCTGTCACCTGCAAAACACCTCCTCCCTACCTCCTCATGGTTCGTTTGCATCGTTAGCCTCTGTTGTGTGGGAGTCGTTGTGTTGATTAGATGCAGAAAGGTGTGATGTTGTGTTACTTTCTAGTAAATATGTATATAGTGTTTCTTCTTCGTTCATGCATGAGTTACAGTTATTACATTTTTTCATGTTATTGCTGTATCATTATTATATTGCAGTAGGTACCTAAGTGAAGTTGCCCCCCCCCCCCCACCCACACACACACACACACACACACCTTCTTCAAATCTAACAAAATTGGTGTCAAACATTTGTGCTGGTTTGTGCTGCAATATAATAATAACATATCAATAATATGAAAAAAATGTAATAACTATAACTGTGACGCTGGAACGAAGAAGAAAAACTATATACATATTTACAAGAAAGTTTTCTACTAGTTACACAGCAAAGTAACATCTGTATATTATACAGCTAATGCATCAATTTTCTCAATCTTAACCAAAATATGAAGTAATGTGTTTGTGCCCTGGAGTCCATGGTGAAGTGATGACTCTCAAAGTGTTCACTGCACAAGCGGGAGTGTAAACTGGGAGTCCAGCACTCTCTTCTTTGGTTGCTTACCCAAAGGTCAAGCCTCTCTGGATCACCTAGAGGAAAACTTCATACAAATAACTAATTAAGCGTATGGGTTTAAAATACTTAATAGCTTATCGTGGCCTGTAGTAAAAGGTCTAAAATTAAGATAAAGAGTAATACAAAATGCATACTTTATAAAATACAATTTAAAACGAACCACTTGAGTCTATTGCCTTATTGGATAAGATATGAATCTTTTAATAATCAATTTTATTAACTAATTTCCATTTTATTAAACTGCACTAGTTCCCATGAGAACAGGGCGCCCGGTCGCGGCTCTTTGTGGACAAATTAGTTATTTAGTCGCTCCCCACCACCACTATTTTACAAATATGCAAAAAATAAAAAAACGACCGAGTTTATCTGATGGCATACAGACTTCTGGAGACTAACATCAAGCACTATCAACCAACTCACCGAGCTGCAGTATTTCTGTGGTCAGGTCTCTCTCCGAGTCCGCTCCACAAGCGGTCAGCCCACACAGCAGCCAGGCGCCGAAGCGGTCAGAGATGCGCCGGGCTGACCGCTGGGGAGAACCGGGTGGAAGAATGGAACACAGAAGTCTCCCTCCGAGAGCTCCGTCATATTTCAACCCATTTTTATGTTAAATGCACTGGGTTTTACCATGGCTTTACCCATCGACATACACCCTATTAATTATTTTACCGTATATTACATCTAAATTTCATGGTTAAACAGTACATGTTAAAATGGTAGTTAGCTAGCTACTTTGATAAGTTCAGCTAGTGCAAGAGCGGCAGTGACCTAAAATACATAAATATAATTTTACTTACCGGAAAAAATGAAGTGGAGACTCCTTGGATGCTCTATTAGTGCAATTAATGCCACAGCAAGTCATTTTGTCCAACAATTGCACAAATAATATCCAAGAAAGAATACACAAACGCTACAACTACTGGTCTAATTTCAGAGACTAAAAATCGCGGAACAGTTTCCAGGCCAGACCGAGGCTCTACTGAGGCCTTTCTGCTGTGAAATTGGTATTTTTAACATGGGAGTCAATGAGGATTTGCTCGCTTCTGACACCAGCCCCTAGTGGATGAGGATGGAACTGACATTATGGACATAAGGTTGTAGCAGGAGAGGTTTTTCTGGAGCTTTTTGTCATATTGCTTGAAAAGCTTTTCACATACTGATGGCGACAACTAAAGTTAACATATGGACAAAAAAAATGAATATTTGCAATGGTCGCTGAAATGTACGATCCTGGAAAAACCTCATCGAATCATTTTAAAGTCCCGTTCTTAATGATTGGATCCTGGTTCATCAATCAAACCACCCTCTGATCGCCCCTCTATTCTCTGCACATACCTAGGAATGAGTACCGAATCGTTTCGCTTCTCATCCGAGGAGCTTTGTCAGTTCTAACTGGAATATGAAAGAGTCAAGCTTATCAGCTGTAGCTGTCTGTTATGTAACGAGCCGAAACTACTCTGGGTACCCCGCCTCTCCATCCCCTGGTGAGTTGTGTTGATTAGATTAGACTGAAAGTGAGAACTATGGGTTAAAAAGGAAAGATAACTTCATGCTTTACTATGTTTTCTCCTGTATTCTGGAGGCGTGGCCTAGTGGGGAAGCCCAAGTTGGACCTTTGATTTGTGGGTAATTTTTTTTCCTTCAAATTGTAGCTCGCTTGAACATCTTTTTCATCATTGGCCCTACGTTTAAAGGTGTAGTTCACTGAAAAAACTTTTTTAATGTTTTTTTTTCTGATTAGAAACAGTCACTGAGTTTTTTCATGCAGGCTAAACATGAAAATAGTCTTCTACACCTTTCTCCTGCATTAGCTTCTGACAGAAAATAGACAGTGAAATCTATGATTTGAAGCTAACCGTTAGCATTAGCAACTCCACCACACAGCAGAACTCCCTCAGGCTTCTGTTATTTTCTGGAGATAAAACATCAGTGTTGCATTGCTGTTATCCAATCCGAGGTGAGATGTCCAAAAACTAGGAAGTAAGACTCCAAATCCTGATTTCTGAAGCTCAGCTCAGATATGGCTCACTTCTACTTCCCGAACATGGTGCACCGGAACTTTTGTTTCCCCAGAGTACGACTTCCAAGGCATTCATTCCTTCTACAGACCAATGCAAATGTATTGATTAACCACGTGATCCACACCTTTAAAAATCGCGTAAATAAGCCCACAAACTCTTAAAGATTTACACTTTGTTTACCAAATGGGGCGTTTGAATCGATTTTAAAATGCATTTCTTTGAAACTGTAAACAAAAATCAATCCAAAAGATTATTGCAACAAAAGAAATGGCACTTTATGGGCTCAAAGTGCATCATAAAGTGCACAGACGAGTCGTGCCTCACCTTATCAGAACGGTGTTGAAGTTGCCCATCTCCAGGTCCAAGCCCTGATTCTCAGCACGAGCCAAACCAAAGCCCACAGCGAGGAACATCAAGGTCAGCGTGGCCATCCTCGTAAAAACGAAGCTCACCGCCCACAGATCGAACCTGAGGCAGAGCAGTGCACTTCACCTCATCAGCTCAAGTAAAAACACGTTTTGCTGCATTTCTACAGGAAATAAATACAACTGAAACTATTAAAGATCTGCTTCAGTCACGTACATTTTCTGATGGCTCTCATCGGTAAAATACAAGAGTCTGGCGATGTGAAAGCCCAGCTCCGACACATACTGGAGGAAGACGAGCACCAGACCCACACGGCTCAAACTGCACCAGAGAAAACCAGATATTACATGAAATTTAATGGAAAGGAGAAGTCATTTAGGCAATGCAGTGAGATGGGTTCATTAATCTTCTAGATGCTTACTTTAGCAAATACGCTGCAGAGATGTGCAGCAGATAAAGGCTGATGTACTGGAGCTGACGAGGAATCTCCTCCTGAAACGAGACAAAAGCATCACTGTTTTTAATCCTAAAGCCTCATTTAAGTGTCAGACATGCAGAATCTTAACAAGACCTTCCAAAAAAAAAAAAAAAAAGAGGCTGAAATATAAACAAATCTTATCTAGTCCCACTCCAAGAATTCCTCCAGTTCCCAGGGCCTCCCAACTAACCTTGCGAACTTTCTGGAAGTAAAGCTCCGGCAAAGCGTGGAGCCAGTAAGCCAGCTGAGTGAGGTAGAAAAGCTTCACCTGAAACCTGAAGAACAAAGAAGCACAGACACAATGGTAAATATTATTATACAACTTATCTGCTAGAAAATGCACGGATGAGTCCTAGGATCAATAAAAATGATCCTCGTAATTTAAAATTATTTTATGTCACATTATAACACACCTGAGATGTGTATGAGGGTAGTTCTCCCAAAGGCTACTGGGATGAAGGAGATATCCTTCCTGTGAGAAAAAATGGAATAAAAAAATATAAATTTTGTGGCTTTAAAAAAAAATACAGAACAATTTAAAAAAAGGGAGCGATCGTGTGGCTGAATAATGGTGTGAAAATCTCACTCACTGTAATGAGGATGTAGAAACTCCACACACTCGACACCAAGTGAAACACGCACAGCTGGCCTGACTCATTGAACTTGGTATTCTTGCTCTTGGAGAGATGAAGGCGTCGGTTCACTTTCTGTAACCAGAACAAAGCAGCAGATCGTGTGACACTCGATCCTTTTGCAATGTGTGACGGGAATCTTGAGTGAAGTGGCCACAAATGGCCAGGATAGAGCCCAGAGTGCTAATGCTTAAAATGTATACAATTATTATTGATTACAATTCTTTACTGTTAATATCAACAATAAGCTTTTTATTTTGAAATTACAAGTATAAAAAGATGCTGTTACATTTACATTTAATGCTGTTACACTGTAATCCTTTATTATAAGTATGGACATAGAATCAAGTGAACAACATTTTGAAATAAGTTTAATTGGAATTTTGTACTATACAAAAACAAAACAACAACAACAACGACATATTAAACAAACAAACAAACACAGTCAGTGCCTTCATTTGTCCATTACATGCCAAACATAGCACTGGCCCTTAGTCCCTGCTCATCAGCACATGCTTTCAAAAAGAGCTCCATGTCCTCTGCAAACTGAAAAACAAAGAGGAACATGTCCCTTGCTCCAGTGTCTTCTTCCTCTGACATGTCTCTTAAGACCCTCTGCTGGTCCCCTTGATTTAAGGACAGATATTTTGGCATTGTTACGTGTCTATGGAAAAGTGCCTTATTTTGGACAACCCACTGCACAGCAGGACTCAGATCTTCAACAACTGCTGGCTCCTGTGTCAGGCAAATGGCGATAAAAACATAGCTATTTCTCTGTTGCAGAACAGTTTTTTAACAGTTATTAAAATGTCACTTACCATGTAATTACACTACTGTTTAAAGTGAATACTGACCTGACTGACTTCCTGGAACTTGTGCTTTTTCAGTCTGAAAATGGGCACGTGTTCTTCAAGCACAGCTTTGGCTTCCTCTCTCCAGTGTGCAAATAGCTTGCCAGAGCTTAATAGAAAATTTTGATATTGTTAAGGTGTGTAAACTTTGACACAACATAGAACAGAAGTCAAAATATAAATACCTCCTGAGATCAAAGTTCTCCATCAACAGCAAGCACCACCATTTACGCAAGTAGGGCATGTCTGACTAAAATATTAATATGAAACATATTTAACAACTTTCAAAAGATTCAAGACTCCATTGCTGTGAAAGTAAATAGAATACTTACTATAGTATAGTCAAATGGTGCATCCAGTGCCACGTACAGAGCAGACTATTTGGAAGAAAAAATAAAAATGTCATTTTTTTTAAGCATAACTTAGCTTCTGTATGCATCTCAAGAAGAGAAGAGAAAAATTACCATCAGCATGAAGATCCCACAGTCAACTCCGTAGTCTTGGCTTGGAAAACCCTGTATTACATTGAAAATAAAGGCTGGTTAATAAAATCCTTTAAAAGAAGACTAGTGTAATTCATATTATTCACCATACACTTAAACTAGCACATACCTTCAAGTCAAAGCTGTTTTTTTCTGACCACTGCCCGGGAATGAGCTTCACTGCAAGATTCCTTTTTTTCCCAGACAGTTACATTCACAAGTTAACAGACATCATCATGATGGGTGTGAAATGTTTATTGCTAATAGCACCAACTGTAACTACAGGTCTTAGGAACATGACCTCAACAAAACAGCATAACAGAATGAAAAAGTACAGTCACATGCTCACAGTTGGTCAAAATAAAGCATTTTCAGCTTTAATTTGAGGTTGGCATATTTTATAAACTAATATTTAATGGTGGTTTATGTTAAACTAAAACGTTTGAAGACTCTATTTATGTCTGAAACTCATCTCAAGACAGCATCACTGACTTGATCAGAATGTGAAGTTGAGAAATAGAATAAAATGTTGAAGCATCATGCTGATATAGTTTATAAAAAAGCATGTGAGTGTACTGTATGTGTGAACACTCAAGATCAGCAGAACATGATCATGCACTTAACCTGGAACACTGAACAGGTTCCTGAAAATTCTGGAACAAACCAAAAATGCTTATAAAAATGTGACCTCAAAAGTGAAACATATTGTTGGCCACCAAATCCTGCCTTTGTGTGTAATGGGTCAAGAAAGAGGATTTCTCTTTTAGGTGGCTTCAGTACCTAAAAGACAGTTAGCCATGGCTTCAAACCTGAAAACGATGTCATTGCAAGCGATCACAATCAAAGACTTTTGAAACTGCGTCATAAAAGCTTGAATACATCTCAGACGCATAGCAACATTCTAACAGTTTGTATGTGTCAAAAAACAAGACTTACACACAACTGGAAATGAGCAGGTGTCCAGAGAGGGAGAACTATGATGTCCATCCTCTGAGCATCAGTCTGAAACAGAATTTTATTGTGAAGTATTCTGTATATGAACTCTCACCAAAGTTATAAAAAAATAATCTTTTTGATTATTTGCTTGTTTCTGTAAAGGACGGTACACTTACAGGAAAGGACTGCAATGGATCACAGCCATAGGGTGCAAGCCGAGTCCGGGTGACATACAGGTTTTCTATGTAAATGCTTATCCCCTAGAATGTAAAAACAGCACATTTAAAACAACTCTTTAAATTAAAGCTTGACAATCATCCTATACAACATACAGTACCTTTGACTGAACAATTTTAGTGATAAACTCAAAACAGCCATTTCCAATCTGAAACAGAAAAAATCATTAAAAAAATGAAAGTACACTTTATTATTTCATATTCATAGAAACAAAATACTTACAGTCGATTCCATTTCTTTGTTTAAACCCAGTGTCCAAAAACCTGCCCGCGTGAGGCACCCAGAAGACGTTTCAACAATCAGCTCATCTTTGGTTCTGCTGATGTCCAGAACATAGTTGAGCTAAAAAAACAGAGAGGTGTCATAGACTGTGGATGACAAAATCAGATAAGCACGTTGCACTTTGCGACATCTGAAAACTTTAACATACAAGCTGTTGTTGGCCAGGGTGCGGTACAAAACACCACGATGAACGGCTGGCCAAAATGTTCTCAGGCTTTGTCAGAGCTTCGCACGGTGGTCCACACAGGTCAGGAAAAGTTGCATCTGTTGACCTTCTATTGGCTTTCTTGTTGTCAACTCCTTCCTGAGGATCTGTAGGGACTTTAACAGGTTTCAGACAAAACACTCAATAGAATGCATATTAAATGCATACAAATGCAAGAAAAATAAGCACTATTTACAGATGGAAATTCATTTGAAACAGTACGTAACAAGTTCGTTTACGAGCCCGCAACTACAACAATGCAAGATTATTATTTCACCTGTATATGACAATCACTATTCAAAATAAGAAATTTTACCAGTGTCACCAGACATTGAAGGTGCTGGGTTCAACACCGTTTCTGTGGTTTCTCTGGGTTTACTGCACACCTGTGGGGCTAGGTACACAAAGAAAACAATATAAACACACAGATAGGAACAAATCTAACATGTGAACAATGGTAGCGTTCTGGTCATGAGACAATGCATGTGCTTACCTACGACAGCTTGACCCAGTGCCGACAATGAGATATTGATCTTTCCAAGTCGACCATGTCTTAGCTGCCTCTCCAGAAGTTTCTTGTTGGTGACAGTGTTAGAATGATGAACTATATTTCTCATCAGAAACACATGTGTGGATGGACTCATATTACTTAAAAAGTAATTGTTTTTCCTCATGTTTGCAAAGAACTGATCAACAACTTGACTGTTCAGCCAGCCTTTCAGCTCTGGGACAAGTTGAATTCTGCATAATATGTCCTTGGGATCTTTTGTGTTTCCCTCATGAAATCTGTCATACAGGACATAATGGTCAGATGATCCAGTGACATGATGAGGATTTTCATTTACACTATCCATCCTTTCATGTAGCCATGGAAGATTCACTTTCAGGCTTCCATCCTGTGCAGCCTTGACATTTTCCTCAGTGGGCTCAGCCAGTCGACCTTCATGTGGATGAAATGGCAGTTTATCAGGAACCCGCAAATTGGTGTGTGCCGCCAAACCCCTCGCAAAATCGTAAACACAGACATTTGGCATGTGCTTCCAGGACAGGAGAAGGTCAGCAAAATCCCGGGGACTTTCAGCACAAAGATTAAATTTAACACTGTATACAATGCCATGTGGACATAGTATTACAGACCATCCTCCTGCAAGCAAAGATTTAAAAAGTTGTTTGTGAATGTAATTACATATTTTAATGCTACTTCTAATAATCGCTAAGTGATGCTTACCAGAGGCACCCCATATGCTTTGAAACACCTTATCATATGTCTGCCTGCTCTTCATCTTCTCCCTCAGTCTGGTGATGAGATCAAAGCGGGAGCCTTTGGAGTCGATGTTGCATGCTTTACACAATTTTCTTACAACTCCAACCTGACAGTAATTAGGGAAAAATGTAAATGGAACAACCCCTGAACTTTATGTCACATATTCTGAAAACATAAAAGCAATGTTACCTTTTGTTTTGCGAGTTCATCCAACAGACGGTCTTCTGTGACACCGCTAAGCTTTGCTTCATGTGAAGAGCTTATTCCTACTTTTTGAAACTCTGTGTTAAGCACAATGTCACTTGTTCGAGTTTCATTCCTGATCCATGGTGCCCAGTTCGTGTAACTTGGTGGAACTGAAAATGGATTCTTCACACCGCCTACAGAAAATGGCATGTTTTTAATTACAATCTAAATTACTTTAAAACACTGGTGTGACTTTCAATAAGTTTTTGCCATCACTCACTTGGAAAAAACCCACGGCTTATCATTTCCAGGTGAACAGAGTTCCAAAAACCTTCAATGTCATGTTCACCATTGAAGTCTTCCGGGGCTTTGAGGTCACTCACTATAATAAACTGACTCATAAGAACATGCACATAATGTACACAATGAACTATGAACACAAATGTACATTAAACTTACCTGCTAACTTGAACACCCCTTTTCTGTGTAAGTCCATAACTACCACAGGGGGGTGAAACCCACAGCTTATGCAGGAGTACATGTAGTCTGTGTCAGTCAAAGCCTCAAAATGACAATAAGCATGAAAAATGGTCTCCCTAGAAGGAAACTTCACTCTTCTTAAGCCCTCCAATGAGTCAATGACCCTTGAAGCGGATACATGGTTCTGTAATATGACAATAGGGTGAAGAAGACTATGATTACACAGATATTAAAATTTGGGCACCAACATATCATAATGATACAAACACATTTTTAAAGCAATTCTCAGATGAGTACATTTTATTTTTGTGATCCTCACCTGCAGATTTTCTCTCAGAAAAAGGCAGAGTTCAAGAGACAAAACAACGTGGTTGTCAAAGTTGTGAAGCCCATCTGTCCACTCCTGGTATCTGTAGACCATGTGGCACTGAGGACACGATCTATGATGTGTTGAAACATCTGTTAAAGACAAATCACATTAATGTCTAAACATTAGTATAGGAACAATTAAAACTCATTATTTCACACTGATGTTTAATCTTATTCATTGAAACTTACTCTCAATCACTCCCATCATGCTGACAATCCTCGCTTTATTGGTAATTAGAACAGCCTTATCAAGTTTTGGGTGCTCTGGGCACACCTGGCACAACGTTTCACAAGGAAAGAGCTGTTTCTGATTATCCATTTTCTGTGAGATGACATTTTCTGGAAGAGATACAGGATTTTTTTTCTCTTTTAAAATATAGCATATACTCCTTTCGACAGCAGCATTGTCCTCAAAGGAAGAACTCTCCTGAGTCATCTGTGATGGGGTGCCTGATGATAGTGGTACGGTTGATTTGAAGATGTCTCTCTGTGTCTGGAAGAGATGCCATTTAGCTGTTTTTATGAGGACATGATGTTCGTGGCTTTGCACAAGCGCAATGCCAGGTGTTCCTCAGAGTATTGTAAGTCACAAATATTCTGCCAAGACGGCAGAAACTGTGTATTTCCGGCTCAAATACAGACAAACAGATCTGTGTAGAGGATCCACCAAAATCCACTCTCACACAAAGTGGAGCATGTGCCATCTGGGCAGCTTTCTGTCTCTTTATGCATGTAGCAGCTTTGGCCTCTCCAAAACATTTAAGGTCCACCATTTCCATCACGATGTGCTCTTGAAGAAAAACCTCCTTCACAGTTTCTTTGCAGTAATCTAGTGAGCGAAGGTGCTCACATAAACTGAAGCCTAGCCCGCTCCGCTGGGCCAGCAACTGGTATTGCTGACATTCCTCCAGCTCACATCTGATATCGTGAGACATCCCCCATGTTTTCCTCTGAACGTGAACTGGCACAGAAAACCCATAGCCAGTTCTCTGCACAGCAAATAACCCTGTAGTTTCATCTACACAAACACACTGCAGATGACTGGCCAGGCAAACATCTATTGACTGGTTGGAGTGCTTCCTCATCATGTGAGCCTTGTAGTTTTTGGTACGAAGAGTAAGGCCACAGTGAGGGCATGTCGTTTTCATGGACTTTCCATCAGCTGCAGTTTTGTTGAACGCAGAGGGTAGAGCATATGAATGTTCTACCAAAGATTCAGTAAATGGTTCAGATACCGAAGACAAAACCTTGGGGGGGAGACGGGGCTCCTCGAAGTGTACTGCCGGAGGAATACGGGTCTCCTCGGAGAGTTCAACGGGGAGCAGTCCTGATAATGGTGGCTGACTTGGCATTGAAGAATGCTGACAAGACAATAAATGCCTAGCCATATCCCCACGCCGTATGATTGTAATCTTACAGACAGGGCAGTGAAAGTGTCCTGTTGTCCTACAAGGCAGCCTGCACCGGCATATCATTTTATCTGTAAGAGAAAACAAACAAACAAACAGATGTAATTTAAATGTAGTTATATAGAATGCAATCAATTTATCTAACAATCAGATTGTACATGTTAACAAAAACATCCAAGCCAACCTCAATAATGAAAGCAAAATGGTATGTTTCACAAAAGTTATGTCAAGAAAAGTGGTGAAAAGTTAATAAAAATATATTTCATAAAAACGCTGTTTTGTGGGAGATGAATGCACTGAACTGTACAATGTCAACAGCAACTTTTAAGTCAACAAAGACACTGCAGATGTGCTTTAAAAAGTGCATATTTATAACTATAAAGTATATTTAATACAAACATACCTTTGAAATGCAAAGCATTTTTTATATGCACACTTAGATGCTCCTCAATCTTTGCCCTGACAGTAGGGCTGAGAGTGGGGCACAGAGGGCAGTGAAAGAGTCCTCTGCAACACGTGTTGCATTCCTGCAATTCTGGCTTTAAGCCCGAATTCCAGATTGATATGTGCATCTAAAACAGAGAGAAAAACAGATAAACAGCATATACACATTTAAGTTCAGGTTTTAGCAGAAATAACACATTACAGCTAGCATGTAATAGATTTGGGAGGAAAATTATTGAAAAAAACAAACATTTTACAAGACACTTTCATTTGTGAGATATGTTTCTATTGACATATAGCAGTCAATTGAACAGGGGCTAACTAAAATCTGGGCAATAAAAAAGCTGTACAGAATAGAATAACGAATAGAAGTATTGATAAATATATAAATCTGTTTGTGACGAAATTTACGGTGTTGACGCTAACCTAAGGTGTCAAAAGTGCACACGTTCCTTACTACAGTTTAGATACCTCTGTTTAAAAATAATCAAATAAAAGTAGAAGCATTGACTCGACTTTTTAGTCAAGTGGAAGTAAGAAGTACAGGGTATAAAATATAATTTATGTACAAAATTCTGAAGTAATTTTGCGTCCAAAGCACGGATTACAAAGTACAGACACGCGTGCTAAAATGTGAGAAGTAGAAGTATAAAGAAGTATACAGCAGGCACAAAAAAGTACAGAAGTAAAGATACCAGAAAATTCTACTTAAGTACAGTATTGAAGTATTCGTTATTTTGCATCTCTGACGCCAACAATAAATCATACTCTAATGCAAAATGTGTTTTTTTCTTCTTCTGTATATATATATATATATGGACAATGGGTTTCCATAGACCCCAGTAACACATTTTGGAAGAGAAATGGGAGGTGGCTACCACCGCCATTTTGACCGTGTCACAGGTTCCGTCAAGCCCAGACAATTCCACAAAAGGGAAGAGAGGTGGAGCTGAGGGTGGGGCTGTAAGACTGGGATCAAATGACGACACCCGGTTGAACTAGCTACAAGCTAACCCAAAGCTAACGCGGAGGTGGGAGCTAAACTAATGGAGGTAGCTACCTAGCTACAACCAGATCTAACTCTGTGGAACACCAGCGACCTGAAGCTCACACGGAGTTTGTGTGGAGGTTTGCGGCGCTTTTTCATGAAAACCATCTTTCTGTGGATAAAAAAGTATTAAATCGGTAAGTCTATAAGTTATTTCCTTAATAAAAATATGTTTTCCTTTGAGCAAGTTTTCAATATAATTAACGTACCGTATTTCCGGACTATAAGTCGCTCCAGAATATAAGTCGCACCAGCCATAAAAAGTATAATGAAGAAGAAAAAAACATATGGATCATTTTGATTTAAAATTAATCAAATAGTACTAAATCGTAAAACTATCAGTTATTTTACATGGCAATTGCGCTCTCTGGTGGACCCGTTAATAATATGCATGTCACATCTACAAAGTTACGTAGCAGAAACACTTCCTGCAAATTCTTTTCAAAATGAAACGCTCATTTTGGCGTTCGCAGCAGAGGAAATGGACCTTTTTCTCATATTCTTTTAGCTAAAAACACATTTAAAACTGTATTTATACAGTGTTAAACATAATAGTTGTCTGGAATCAAAGTGCTAAACTCAGCTAGCTACAGCAACAAACTGTGGTTTTAATTAGTATATGAGAAGGGATTTTGTCGCCCTCCAGTGTCGAAGAGTCGGAACAACTGTCCGGTTCTGTTAAATAATTGAAACAAAAATATTTTTGCCTCTTAAAAAAATCCTTTTTTTTTTCTTTCTGCTTTTGAACGGTGGTGCAGTGGTTAGAGCTGTTGCCTTGCAGCAAGAAGGTCCTGGGTTCACTTCCCTGCCTGGGATCTTTCTGCATGGAGTTTGCATGTTCTCCCTGTGCATGCGTGGGTTCTCCGGCTTCCTCCCATAGTCCAAAAACATGACTATTAGGTTAATTGGTCTGTCTAAATTGTCCTTAGGTGTGTGTGTGTGTGTGTGTGTGTGTGTGTGTGTGTGTGTGTGTGTGTGTGTGTGTGTGTGTGTGTGTGTGTGTGCATGATTGTTTGTCCTGTGTGTCTCTGTGTTGCCCTGTGATGGACTGGCTCTCTGTCCAGGGTGTACCCCGCCTGATTGCCCATTGACCACTGGAGATGGGCACCAGCCCCTCCGCGACCCTACATGGACAAAGCGGGTTCAGACAATGGATGGATGGTCTGCTTTTGAATATTTAATTTAAAAAGCAGAAGTTGACTAGTGAGCTACATTAATAAAGTTACAACTGTTACTTAGTATACACTTTTCCTGTGTTTTCTTTCAAAATAAAACACCATGACTTTTTGATGGTAACAACAGGATAGGTAGCTAGCCTGGAAATCCAGACTAAATAAATATATTAAACTTTGTAAAGCAAGAATTTGGTCTAGTTCACTAGGCTAGGATAACTCGTTTTAACAGTCTTTTCTAGCTGAAAGCACAATAAAAACTGTATATGTGTTAAACATGATGATTGAATAGAGTTAAAGCCAGCTAGCTAGAGTTTACAAGCTTGCCATTTTTATTGATTTTTATGAACGAGGTGAATTGTTGCCCTCCAGACACATAGTGCATAATACAGTGCCTAAAAATACAACCGTTGTTTTTTACTAAAAATGAAATATAATTTGTGGTCCGGGCTAAGCCCAGGTGTTCCTTAAAGGCTGGAGACGCCCTCGGTTTTCAGGAAAACTTTGAAATTCCTATGAAACACATTTGATTTTGTAAATATTTAAGAAAATTAAAGCTGCAATTATTAGTGTGCACAATTACGGCATATTCTCTTAAAAAACGAATATAAACAATAATTTAATTAATAATCAAAAGAGTAATGTATTACCACGACTCGTTGTGTGAAATAGCGCATCGTCGGCTTTTGGGCCCTCGCGGCTTCCTTACAACGTGATAACAGAAGGTCAATCATGGCTGCCTACGCGAAGGGACTCAATAAATGTTTAGGTTCACTAAGATTATGTCGGAATTTGCAGCTTCATAATGAACGTATGTATATTAAAAACGTTTCCAAATATCTCGTATTTTGTCACAATTAAACAAGACAGTGCTAAATAGTGATTTGTTTCATTTGTATGTCCGTAATATGCCTACGAAGCTAGTGCTAGTATGTGAACTAGCTAGCAGACACAATAAAACGATATTTTACCTTCATGTTTTCAGGGTTTCTGTCTTCGTCTGCGTGTCTTCATGCGGACAACCAACCGACTAAGTTTGTCCCCCCGTCCAAGCCCGTTGTTGTAGATAAAACTCAGACTGTGGCGTCTGTGCGGAAGTAAGATTGTCAAGAATATAGACATTAATGTAGACACGTTTGCGGTGTTTTTTAAACTCCCTTCTTTTGTATTTTTCTTTTTTTCAGGTTTCTGAGCCCAGAGTTTATTCCTCCCAGACAAAGGACAGACCCACTAAAGTTTTTTATTGAAAGGAAGGACATGATTAGAAGGAGGAAAGTACTCAATATCCCTGAGTTTTATGTTGGTAAGAACACTAATGACGTTTCAGGGATTTGTGATTGACAAAATCATTTAATATGCTCCCCCTGGACAATGCATTATTTCAGTTTATTTTAGACAATTCATTATTATTATTACTATCTGTGATATTGAGCTGTTTCTTCTTAAAACAAATATTTATTTTCAAGTTAGAATAAAAGAGTAACAACTGGAGGACAATGGAATGAAAAAAATCGCACCTGTTACACTCAACTAGTTTAAGTGCTCCAGCTCCTTTGTTTTATCAAAAATTATTTTTAGTTGCCATTGCTGGTTAAAAAAATGTAAAATACAGTTTTGTAGAAATTGTAACAAATTATGAAATAATTATATTATTATTATAATATAAATATTTTAAATTTGAATGTTTTTACAACCTTTTGAAAAAAAATTAGGGATGGACAATATATCGGCATCAATATCAGTTATCGGCCAATGTCAGTCATTTTTTAACATATCGGTATCGGTCCGATAAATAAAACCGGGCCAATATTAACAACAGATACTTTTTCCATCTTGTCTCCATTTGTTTATCTGTTTCAGAGGGTGAGGGGGTGATGTGTGATTGTTTAGTTAAGTGACAGTGAATGGAATCATCTCAGAAGCGTAAATGTGTGTTATGTGTACAAAATAATGTAAATTCAGCTTTAATAATTTCCATTCTATACAAAATCTCCTGATTTTAGAAGCATTAATGTCAGTATATCGGCATCAGCAAATATCGGCCATAACAGTGATCTTAATATATCGGTATCGGCCCAAAAATTTCATATTGGTGCATCACTAAGAAAATGATACGATACATCTCAAGGGGTTATCCTTTTAATAAATGTAAAATTTCAATTGCAGTACAGCACCGTACGCACAAGAAGAAATTATTTTAAAAATCTTAATTTCTTTGAGGGAATATTTTACTAGTTATTAAATGTGATCATCTGCACACTGTAAGGCCATGCAACCACTTTCTGCACACATTAAATACTCTTAACATTCATCCCTGTGATGTTAAAGAGTCTAATTCTGCTTTCAGCAGAGAGATTGCTACAAGCACGGTTCTTACGGGTCCTCAAAATTCTAAAAAGTGCTTGAATTTTTAAGAATTCCCATTGCTCTCACTGAAACTGGAAATGGCGAGGGTGCTCAATAATTACGTGTGTGCAAATCAACTTGGCTGCCCTTTGTCACTGGTTCTGTTCATTACCTTTATGGACAGAATTTCTAGGCGCAGCCGTGGTGTGGAGTGTGTCGAGTTTGGTGGCAGGAGAATCTCGTCTCTGCTTTTTGCGGATGATGTGGTCCTCCTAGCTTCATCCAGCTCTGACCTTCAGCTCTTGCTGGGTAGGTTCGCGGCCGAGTGTGAAGCGACTGGGATGAGGATCAGCACCTCCAAATCTGAGACCATGGTTCTCGACCGGAAAAGGGTGGCTTGCCAACTCCGGGTCGGGAGAGAGGTCCTACCTCAAGTGGAGGAGTTTAAGTATCGCGGGGTCTTGTTCACGAGTGAGGGTAGGAGGGATCGGGAGATCGACAGGCGGATTGGTTCGGCGTCTGCAGTGATGCGGACGCTGAGCCGATCTGTCGTGGGGAAGAGGGAGCTGAGCCAGAAAGCCAGGCTCTCGATTTACCGGTCGATCTACGTCCCAATCCTCACCTATGGTCATGAGCTTTGGGTAATGACCGAAAGAACGAGATCGCGGATACAAGCGGCCGAAATGAGTTTCCTCCGTAGGGTGGCCGGGCTCAGCCTTAGAGATAGGGTGAGGAGCTCGGACATTGGGAGGGACTCGGAGTAGAACCGCTGCTCCTCCGGATCAAAAGGAGTCAGTTGAGGTGGTTTGGGCATCTGGTCGGGATGCCTCCTGGACGCCTCCCTGGGGAGGTGTTTCCGGCATGTCCTGCCGGCAGGAGGCCCCCGGGTCGACCCAGGACACGTTGGAGAGGTTACATCTCCAATCTGGTCCGGGAACGCCTTGGGGTCCTGCCGGAGGAGCTGGTGGAGGTGGCCGGGGAGAGGACGGTCTGGAGCTCCCTAGTTGGGATGCTGCCCCCGCGACCCGGACCCGGATAAGCGGAGGAAGACGACGACAAATCATCACCTTAAAAATTCTTGATTTCAATATTAACAGAGATGTAAGAACCCAGAACGATGACATCACTGAACGATTATCAAAATACTGTGGGGGAAAAGCAAAACAAAAGAACCAATGTCAATTTTTTTTTCATTATACCAGCAGTTTACATTAAAATGATGATAAAATAAGTGTTAAAGTATCACAGCTATCTCAAACTATATTCAGAACTGCTTCTTGGTTCTCAGTCTCCAAGAGTTCTTGGCTTCAGCTTTTGAATCGATTTCACTGTAATCTGCGCCCACATGTAACATTATCTCACTGTTTTGCAGGAAGTATCCTTGCAGTGACCATGGCTGATCCAAACGCTAGTGGGAAAGCAAACCGCTTTGTTGGTATTTGTGTCCAGAGGGGAGGAAAAGGCCTGGGCGCCACATTTATTCTGAGGAACATCATTAATAGTCAAGGTAAGATCTGACTTGTAACCAACCACTCATATGAAAATAACACTCTGTAATTGTCTCTTGCATATTTGGGTATTTTTGTATGTTGTAAATATTTACAACATCACATTTTTTGTGTGTCCACTATTATAACTAATCTGCTCCCAATATTTGTGAGTCAGGCTAGTCTAAAGGTAAAGGTGTGTGTGCGTGTGTGTCGTAGGTGTGGAGATCTGCTACGAGCTGTACAGCCCTCGTGTTCAGAAAATAGAAGTGCTGAAGCTGGAGAAAAGACTGGATGACAACCTGATGTACCTGAGGGACGCTTTGCCTGAATACAGCACCGTGGACCCAGAAATGAAGCCGGTGCCTTTCTCTCCCGCTGGAGAGGTGCCTGTTAACAAGGTGAGAGAGCTTTAGGATGAAACCCAACAGTACTTCAGCTGCATTTATTACTACTTTCGTTATAGAATCAACTGTTCCGGGTTTTTCTGCTGCTGATGGCTGACATGTGCTGCCAATTTTATTGGGCCAATTATTACAGCCGTTACCTACAAGTTTTTGTCTTGTTTGCGTGGTAAAATGTCACTAATCACGTGGATGCACAACATTTATGAATCTAATGAGTTTTTAAACACTGAATTTAACCAACAAATGAATAAACCGACCAAGTGTTTAAAGGAGCTTTGGCTTGCTTCTAGCTAGGCCTGGGACGATAACGCATTTTGGTGGACGATATATTGTCCAACATATTATTGACGATAAACAATGTCATTGTTGACATTATTGAGACCAAAATAACCACTTATGTAATGTTAATACTAATACAAGTACACCCTTTAAAATGCAACAATTAAAGCTTTATTTAATATTGGAATGTCCAGAACCAGAACTTCTAAATAAATTAATAAAACAAACAAAAAATAAAAGGACTTTCACACTCTTAGGAAACATTGCATCAAAAACAATAAAATAGACCCCGTCTCTCCAAAACAATAAATACAATGGCCTATCCAGTGTCATCGACCAAAACTGCACTTCAATAATGATACTAAATGATAATAATAGAGTTGTACATTTCTTAACCTCGATATATTGAGTTCATTTTCATCTATCGTACGATTAATTGATTGATTGATTGATTATCATCCCAGCCCTACTTCTAGAGTCCGTCCCTGCTGTGCGTTTGTCTTTTAACATCTTAGTAAAACAGCTAAAATGTCTCCTCAGTCTTCATTATTGTCTACAGGAGCGATTCATCGCTAATAATAAATCAGCTATGTTCATGATCTAAAACATGCAGGGAACGTGCTGGAAGCAGACTGCAGGGCTGGTATGTCAGCTCCACTTACACCTAACAGGGACTGGTCCACTACTCTGAAGTTGCAAGTGCGGTATTCTGCCATCAGGGGGGCGATGGAGGTCAGAACTCTGTAAAGGGTCATTTAGCACATACTGGCTCAAGAAAATGGTTTAAAAACATGAAAAAGTTTTGTATTATAGATTGAAAGTTACAAAACTGGTGGATAAAAACAAACGTCAGCTTATAGAAATGTTCGAGGATTTGTTATTTTCACACATCAAGCATCTAAATAAAATAAGCATTAGAATATAAATAATAAAACTAAGAAATATAAACAATAAAACGTATACAAACTAAATAAAATGGGGCCTAAAACACTCATTTCTGAGGCTTCCTAAAGATGTGCCTGACTTTAAATCAGCTCTAGTAAGGAGGACTATCTGCCGACCGATACGTCAGATTCTCCCTAGTGATGATTCTTGTTTATGTGGTGAACTTGTCTACGTTTTGGTGTGTTCTCATTTTAAAACTTGTCTTTATACCAGCTCAAAGTCAAAATGCGTCCGAAGCCATGGTCCAAACACTGGGAACGGCCCACGTTCAACATCCAGGGCATCCGCTTCGACCTCTGCATGACACCCAGACAGACGGAGTTCGTCCAGAAGAAGTACGGGCAGCCTTGGGTGGAGTACGACATGCTGAAGGAGTACGACACCTCCGAGCTGGAGGTGAAGATTCTCAAGGAGGTCCAGCAGGAGCTGAGCAAGTGAGGGAGATCCACCTAAACCACAGAGCGGACTTTTTCTGGGAATGACTGGAAACGTTTGTGGGTGTAACAACTGACTTGGTTGGGAAGCTGTTTTAGGAGCGGTGGGCAATTTTGGCCACTTCGCCACATTCCAGTTTTAGCCGCTCTGATATCTGTGCAAATAAAAAATGGTTTCATAAAGATAAATAAGAAGTCCAATTTATTGTCTTTTTCACTTCTCTTTTGCCAATTTCTTCAATGTTTCCGGTTCTAGAACTTGTCGTTTTAGTCTTTCCACCTTGACATTTAATCTTTTAGTTTACCAAAGTAAATCAGAAGAAAGATTAGCCAAAGCTACATCCTGTCTTCTAGATTCTCTCAAAACTTATTTCACAGAAGCAGTTCAGGAAAACCAGGAGGACGAATAAAACATGTAGATCTGATTAGTAACACTAGGTGGCGCTGCTCCTTCACTGTTGTTGCACACATCAGTGGTTACATAATTGACTTGGAGGTTTTTGAGGAGAAACCTCCAAGGTAAGAAAAACGATGCATTATTTAAACAAGCAGGATGTTGCAGGTTTGTGCTTCAAATTTTGAATAAGCGAATAGTAAATCTCACTAGGCTTTTGTGTTTTTAGGAGTTGTTTATTTTTAGTAAACCTGCTGTTAAAAGAAAAGTCTCAAAGTGCTGTTTTGGAAAAAGTCAAGTCAGACCAAAGACACCCGGTTGTGTTTTACTGCTGTGGATGGAAAGTTGCGGTGCTGAGATGGTGTGTTTGAGCGTCAGTTGAGTAGTATAAAAACACTTGGGCTCCTTATGTCTGTGTGTGTGTGTGTGTGCATGTGCATAAACACACCAAACGACTCCCTGCACTCTAATTTCTCCATATTACAGGATGAGACATGGAGAAAATGGTCTCTAATACAGGAGAAGCAGATGTTTGTTGGGCTCATTATGGACCACACAGATTCCCAGCAGCGCGGAGATGCTGAGGAGCAACAAGAGTGATTATTTGAGCTATGCTTAGTGTCATGCAGGCAAGCTTTTGGAAGAGTTGAAACTTCTACACCTGTAAGGTTTGGCTCCATTAAAGCGGTCCGTTTCATTCGCTCCCCGTCCAGCCGGAGCTGACCTTCAGAAAAGAAAAACACAACAGCTCCATCTGCATCTAAGTGGCCGTCCTGCACATTGTCATTACCCTACCCACTGAACCAGCTGGCCCTTTCACCTTTTCATTTCTCACTCTCAGTATTTCTGCTCGGTGATGGATGTTCTCGTGTGGAGGCAGTAACAGAAATGTTTATCCTACTGCACATTACCGAGCCTTCAGAGGCATTCCACTGGTAACACCACTGGACTGGTAAACCAGTTTAAACCACAGTTACTCAGTCTCAGTTGGAAGGAAATGTGTGTGTGTGTGTGTGTGCACGCGCTCTAAGCCTGTCTGCTTGTCTGTACGTGCCTCCCATGCCCTCAGGTTGACTTTTCTGCACCTGGAGTGAAGTTAGAGCGCCTTGGCTGGGAGCGGAAGATCAAACACCAGTTGATTCTCTCTCTCTCTCTGTCTCTCTCTCACCCACCCACCCACACACACACACACATGCATGCACACACGTTTGTAAACTTGCAGACAAGCTATCACATCACCCTGCACCAGTGCTTTTAAGTGGGCCGGCACGCAGTAGCGCCACCTCTGATTTTGACCTCTCATCCTACCAGGTACGGTGCACAATGGTAGTTTTTCTGGTCAGTTATTAGTGGAAATTTCCGAGGTTTCTGGGAAAATATCTGTCGGTCCTCAAACACCAGCCACCCACAGTCCCCCCCGACATGCCGGACGAGTGCTACATGAGGGGCCGCTTTTGCACAAAAGGTGCATCACTGCCGTAACGGCCATTATTCCCCCCTTCTCCACACCTTCCAACTGTAGATATCTGGGGCAATCCAACCTTGATCACCATTTGCATCTGTTGAGGAATCACGGTTTAAACTTGAGACCATACGCCCAAGTGTAAAGCACGGTGGGCTGATGATGGCTACAGTGCCGCACCACTAAGAAGGTCAGTGCAGGAATGCAGGGAGGGATGTTCTCTTCTAATCAGTCTAACTCCCTTTCGCCGGCGCTCCCCAAGCCTTCATCTCCATCCCTCTCCTGTGGGAGTTCTAGCTGAAGTCTTTGAAAAGGAGCCAGGTTGATGAACCGGAGAGGATGTGACACGGAGTGTGAAGCAACTCCCACAGGTGGAGAGTCGGGGGTAATGTCTTCACTTCTTTGTCTCCATCTTGCATGATTTCCTGCTCTTCTGTTTGCAGGCTTGGAGAAATTAGTTTCACTCTCTGTGCCTGCGTCAGTGTGAACTGTGTTTGGGCTGTCTGCGGGGAAGACAAGTGGAACTGGATACCAGGCCACCCATAGGCCCCAGGTAAATTACACCCCACCAGTGTGTGTGTGTGTGTGTGTGAGAGTGTGTGTGTGTGTGTGCGCGCGCAGCTCAGGGCCACCCGTAGTCCAAGGTAAATTACACACTTGAGTTTCACCAGATGCTTCCAGTGAAACGACATGACCGTCTGCTCCTCCGACTGTCCCACGGGGTTGGCGGGGGTTCCCGCTGCCATCACTCTGTCTGTTACACACACACATCCTGACAGAGCAACAGCTGTTTGGAAACAGTACATGGCAAGCAGCTGATAGCTGAAGTCAAACAGTCACACATCACAATTATTGTGAGAATGTCGTCTAGAGTGCAGCGTGTCTATGTTATGGTGAGGGGTTCGTTTCCAGTTGGATCCTTTCCAGATTAAAGTTTGTCAGATTTCCATTTATGTCTAACCATGTTTGAGTTTAGGAAGCAGCAGAAGGACAAAGGCCAGTCAGTCTTTCAAGTTAGCAGTAGGATAAACTGCACTACATAAAGTCATTTGTGGAATTGTGGACATCCACATGTAGCCAGGTATCCCACAAAATGACAATATTTTCATAAGGTAAATTTGGCCTGTGATCCACACGAAAGTGTACATACACTGAACAAAAATATAAACGCAACACCTTTGTTTTTGCTCCCGTTTTTCATGAGATGGACTTAAACATCTAAAATTTATTCCAGATACACAATATTACCATTCCTCTCAAACACTGTTCACAAATCAGTCTAAATGTGTGATAATGAGCACTTCTGCTTTGCTGAGATAATCCATCCCACCTCACAGGTGTGCCACATCAAGATGCTGATCCGACATCATGAGTAGTGCACAGGTGTACCTTATACTGCCCACAATAAAAGGCCACCCTGGAATGTGCAGTTTTGTCTCCCAGCAAAATGCCACAGATGCCACAAGCATTGAGGGAGTGTGCAATTGTCATGCTGACAGCAGGAATGTCAACCAGATCAGTTGCTCGTGCATTGAATGTTCATTTCTCCACCATAAGCCGTCTCCAAAGGCGTTTCAGAGAATATGGCAGTACCTCCAACCGGCCTCACAACTGCAGACGACATGTAACCACACCAGCCCAGGACCTCCACATCCAGCAGGTTCACCTCCAAGATCGTCTGAGACCAGCCACTCAGACAGCTGCTGAAAAAATTGGTTTGCATAACCAAACAATTTCTGTACAAACTGTCAGAAACCATCTCAGGGAAGCTCAACTGCATGCTCGTCGTCCTCATTGGGATCTTGACCTGACTCCAGCTCGTTGCTGTAACAGACTTGAGTAGGCAAAGGCTCACATTCAATGGCGTCTGGCACGTTGGAGAGGTGTTCTCTTCACGGATAAATCTCGGTTTACATCTTTCAGGGCAGATGGCAGACAGCGTGTGTGGGGTCGTGTGGGTGAGCGCTTTGCTGATGTCAATGTTGTGGATGGAGTGACCCATGGTGGAGGTGGGGTTATGGTATGGGCAGGCATCTGTTATGGATGAAGAACACAGGTGCATTTTGTTGATGGCATTTTGAATGCACAGAGATACCGTGATGAGATCCTGAGGCCCACTGTTGTGCCGTACATCCATGAACATCACCTCATGTTTCAGCAAGATAATGCACGGCCCCATGTTGCAAGGATCTGTACACAATTCTTGGAAGCTGAAAATCTCCCAGTTCTTGCATGGCCAGCACACTCACCGGACATGTTACCCATTGAGCATGTTTGGGATGTGCTTGACCGGCGTATAGGACAGCGTGTACCAGTTCCCACTAATATCCAACAACTTTGCACAGCCATTGAAGAGGAGTGGACCAACATTCCACAGGCCACAATTGACAATCAGATAAACTCTATGCGAAGAAGATGTGTTGCACTGCATGAGGGCAACGGTGGTCACACCAGATACTGACTGGTTCTGAGTCCCCAGACCCCCAACAAAGCAAAAAACTGCACATTCCAGGGTGGCCTTTTATTGTGGGCAGTATAAGGTACACCTGTGCACTACTCATGATGTCAGATCAGCATCTTGATGTGGCACACCTGTGAGGTGGGATGGATTATCTCAGCAAAGCACAGGTGCTCACTACCACACAATTAGATTGATTTGTGAACAATGTTTGAGAGAAATGGTAATATTGTGTATCTGGAATGAATTTTAGATCTTTAAGTCCATCTCATGAAAAATTGGAGCAGAAACAAAGGTGTTGCGTTTATATTTTTGTTGAGTGTACAAGACCAAAGTGGAGTTTTGTTGTCGGCATTGACTTGTGGACATTAATAACTAGGGTTTTGGCTTTCGAAACGTCACTTCCCATGTCTAAGACATCACATGTTTAACCTGCACACACTCTTGTTTTACTGTAGAAGACCAGAGGCGAAAAACAATATCAAAGGTGTGGTTCACTCATTTAATCAATACATTTGCAGTGGTCTCTATTAGGAATTAATGCCTTGTAAGTTGTATTCTGGGAAAGAAAACCCTGGTGCACCATGTTCACAGACTAAAAGTGAGCCACATCACTGTAGATCTTCAGACGGCAGGTTTGGGAGTCTTATTTCCTGATATGTGGACATCACTCCTTGGACTGGATAGCAGCAACGTAACTCTAGCACTGACTTGCAACAATGATGTTTTATCTTCACAATTAACCCACACCTGGAGGAGTTCTGCCGTGTGGTGGAGTTGTGAATGTTAACAGTTAGCTTCTACTAGCTGAGACGTCGCTACTGTTTCCTGGAAGCTAAACCAACAGCAGCCTTCCCCGCCGTGAGTCAAGATGG